AAAGCGCCGCTTCGCGGCGTCCGACTATGCTAAAGTGTCATTCGGTGAAACGTGGGCATTCGCTAAAACGTCATTCGATCAAGTGAGTGCCTCCCGGGGGAGTGGGAGGGGGGTTGTTAACACGTACGCGCTTCAGTGATACACGCGCGAAGCAGGGAAGCCTTTTTTAAACAGCATTCTTTTTCAATAAACGGAGTTTTTCTGAAGTAAGGCTCTGCTCTCTCTAAACCGAGCTTCGATAAAATGGGCCTCTTCTCTAAATTGTGTTTTGATGAAATGACGTTTGATCAACCGTAGTAAATGAAAGACGTTTTAGCGTTTGCCGACGTTTCACCGAATGACACTTTAGCAAATAGTCGGGGGTGGGTTAACATTTTTGCAATGAGCCACCACAGACAGCCACCGCAAAGCGGCGTAAGCGCAGCTCGAGGGGGGGGGGGGGGAGGGGGTGTTAGCATGCGCCCCCATTATTTGCTAGATTGTCGATTCGCTGTACGTTGCAGTTTGCTAAAACATTGTTCGCTTATGTCATCATATCTGACATTCGCCCATGTGTGGACCCCGCTATTTTTTTTCTGACCACGGTAATAAAAATATTTGCACAAACATTTTTTAAAATTTATTTCAAATCCTGCAGGCAGCAGTGCTGCCCAGGCAGGAGGGGGTTACATCAGGTGTGACAAAACTAAGATTGTTTTTAGTTCTGGCAAAGTTTGGTTGAATCGCTTTCGAGCAATTTAGTCCTGTTGGTCTGTGAGGAGCAGGAATTAAATGTTGCACTTGATAAGCCAGGTCTGCTGTGAATGAGTAGAGAAATTTTAGCCTGGCAGTTGATGATGGAGATCGAGTCTGATGAGATAAACTGAGCAGCAAGACATATATGCTCCACCTTAATGAAATACGGATCTCATACGATTGAAGCATACTCTAGGACTGGTCGGACTAGAGAGCGATATGCTTAAAGCTTGGTATTCGAGGGACACCCCTTTACTTTCCCTTGTAGAAAGCAGTTTCGACTGCCCTAGAGCAGTGGTTCTCAACAATTGATGTTTCGCAGACCCCTTGTGGATCAGCAAAGATGAATGGAGGACCCCGTTCGTTGTGAGGGGAAGGGAGAGGTATAGCATACTTACAATAATTATTTAATAAATGGATATAACTAAGGCATGTGAATTAGATTTTTCTCATCGACACACACACGAGAAAACTCGCCCGAGAATTGGAACGTTTCTTTTCAATCTGAAAAAAGACAACTGTAATTGCCTTTAAGGCTTTAAGGCAGGGCCTCGCGGACCCCTAGAATCACACTTATTCATAGAATGCTTTTGCGGACCCCCATTTGAGAACCACTGCCCTAGAGCATATGTTACTTAGAGGCTCATCCCACTCAAGGTTATTTTTATTGTTAGAACCAAATATTTCACAGAAGAAACAGTCTGAACGCACTGATGTCGAATGTGAAAAGTGTACAATAAGCAACAATAAGGGATTTTCTGTTGTTGATTGTCATTGCGACTGTTTTGTAAAAGTTAATTTTCACACTTTGGAGTTCGTACCAGTCTGCAAGTTTACGAAGATTGTCCTTCAGCAGTGTCTGACAGGAAGCGTTCGTGATAACAGAACTGACACAGTCATCAGCAAAGCATGTGACGGCAACACTTTCATCAGCATCTTTGGCAATGTTATTTATATAAATTAAAAATAGCAAAAGCACAAGCACGGAGCCCTGCGGTACTCCAGACAAAACCTGTAGGTTATCAGGCCTCGACCCGTTACATTCAACGAATTGCGTTCAATTGTGTAGATAGGCCTGTATCCAACGAACAAGCCTGTCGGAAAGTTCCCCCTCTTTTAGTCTAGCTATCAATCAGCAAATCCTGAGGCACATCATCAAACATGCTTTTGACACATCTAAAAAATATAGCATATCAATCTGTTGGCGGTTCACGACGAAGTCGTGAACAACCAACAGATTGATATGCTATTTTTGATATGCTTTGATTGATATGCTTTGTTGTGAACTACAGTGGAGGCATGCGGTTTAGAGAAGCTCGTTTTAACAATGTCGTTTAAGCAACCTCAGTTTATCAATATGACGATGTCTCCTTTCAGGCCGTACGGATGGATCAGGTGGGTTAATGCCATAAGTGGCATTTTTCTAGACTGAGACTGCGCTTTCTCTAAACCGAGCTTCGATAAAACATGCCAGAAACATTTCTCCGGAATCCGTGTTAATTTTTATCAAAAAAGCAGTTGGAAACATAACTAGCAATTATATGTGGTCAAGAAGCTTGCAGATATGGGGCTGCGATTCCCAGGGTTTAATAATCTAACCGTTAGCCAATCATTTGGCAGACAATTCTGGTTGAGGGAGGCATCGAAGAGCACGTAAAAGTACTCGCAAATCGGAGGCTTGCGGTGCAGAGGCTTGTTTTAGTGAATGCCGTTTTGTCGACCAAAGCTTATCCAATCCCTTTAAAAAAAAACTGTTTTGAGAACATGACGATAAGCCTCCTTTTAGTCAATTCTGCCACTGCGAAGCGGCGTGTACGAATCCCGTACGAAAATGTCAGATACAGACCGGAATGAAAAATGCCGGTTCTGCCTGGATCTGAAATTGGGGCACCAGTTTGTATCCCCCCTGTAACCACGCAGTTCCAGAGAGGATACTAATTGGTGCTTTTTTCAGATCCAGACGGAACTAGCTGGTTCCAGTGGTTCTTCAGAGCCACTGGAACCAACCATAAAGTATACCAAGGGTCGAACCCTTTTCAGCTACGGGCCGAGTCGTCACGGAGCCGACACGGAAGAAGTCGGACGACAAGTCGCACGAAGGAAAGGCTGGAATGAAGGAGGCAAAAGGAAAAGAAGACGTTCGCTGCTCAAGTATGGGGTGCTGGACAATCCCCATTTAAGGTCAACACTGCCGTGTGGTCCGTGAGTCTGTCTGATGCGGCAGGGGGGGGAGGGAGGGAGGGAGGGGGGGCAAGGAGGATAGAAGCGTAGGAGAGGGCATGACGCCAGCCGTGTAGCCTCCACAAGCCATGCTCGCTTGTCGCCTCGCCTTTCTCATTTTCGTCCTTACTCTCCTCACTTACCACACCAATGTGACCACATCACATGACCATAGCTAGCCTTCGTCTAGCTATGGGGTGCTAAAATACACCACAGTCTAGCCTTCGATCTGATAAAACCTACCGGACGGAGCGCACGCAAGCCTGCAAGGAGTCTTCTAGAATCAACCATCCATCTCACACGCGATATGTCACGCGCACTAATAGCCAGAGAGATCTACGGTCACGTTGGCCACAACATCGTTTAAACTTTTTATGACTAGGCTTCACCAATATTGCAACGTGCCCTCTCCTAGTAGTAGACTCTCGTTAATTTGAACTCGAGGGGGACCGAACAATTGTTTGAATAAAGCAGAGTTTGAACTACCGGGAGTTTCCTCCCACAGACGCATAGGATGGGACCTGCATGTTAGTTTGAAGTATCCGCAAGTTTGAATTAAGAGAGTTCGAATTAACGAGATTCTACAGTACTTCTAACCTCCTTGGGGGGGGGGGGGGGGGGGCACATGAAACTGCCTCAGTGGTGCGCACGAGCATCTTGCACCAGGCCCCACATGCCGACCTGGCCTTCGTAAATCCTTTGTGTTCTATTATCTTGTCCTTATTTTGGCGGCACTTTTCCTTTATAGTCTCCATTCGTTTTTTGGAGCAGAACCTCACGTAGAAGCTCACGCTGGTTCATGTCATTCAAAACACTTGTTTTAGTTACACACGAAAATTTATCTAAAATCAAAGCGAGGTTTTTTTGTTTTTTTTTGTGTGCGAGAAAAAAGAATTGGGAGCCAACAGTTCTCGCAGGTATATCTTCTATGGCAATCTTAGCTGTCGTTCCTGACCTGGCAGGTCTACTTTGCCACATAGCACAAGACAGGCAATGGCTAAGAGCTCGGCAAATGACAAGGCCAGGAGCTTCCACACTGAGAGGTCGTCTGTTTTGCGGCGTCAAGCATGCTCTTTTGGGAATCTAGTGCAGATTGCAATGTTTGAGAAAAAAAGAGTGTACACTTTATCATTTCAAAAGTTTCTTCAACAAGTTTCCCTGGCCATGATCCGTGGGAAAGTACTACGTATCGGGTTCGAATGAAATGTAACAGCGATAAAACTTCCAGCGCACTACCGGCGCAGCATCGAAGCTTGGGTTCTGCCGGGCGAGGTTCAAACACATCCAAGTAGGATGCACACCTTCGCAGAGCACTGCTCTCCATCCCGTAGTTTTATCAGTTTCCGGAAGCTTCCAGAAGGCGTTGCATCTGTCGATGGCTACGTGCTCCAGTATTCAGACTTCATTCCAACCCGATAGTACATGTGTCGGCCTTTACAAATGGCATGCTTCAGAATTGAGAAAATGTTGTGTTATTAGAAACCTCCAAAAACGTGGAAATTTGATCAGAATGTTCTAGGGCCTAGGGCTAAAAAATGTTTTAGCATGCACATGCTTATTGCTAAAAACGATCAGATTCACATTTCTCTTCTGCTCTAAAAGGAGCAAAGAAGGGTAAAGCACACCAACAAGCCATACCTAAGTTGCAAAGGTTCCGGTCACAATTAGCATTGGTCTTAGCTCTGACACAAGTACTTTCCTTACTTGACCCTTCCACTTCTCCCTACGGACTTGGTGATGTGTCCGATTGCAGTTTTCAAAGACGTGGCTCTTGCATGATGTCATCGCACCATGCTGGTGGTCATTCCTACTTGTTCTTGCAGAGAAAGACGAATCCGGTGGCGCGATACATACGCCACAAAGGGTTATGCGCTCGCCAACAAGGCCATCACAATGGCATCCGAAAACATGTCGATGCAACCCACGTATTGATGTGAAATGCAGATCCTGTAGGAATTTAAATATTTTTAAAGCACATAGCTCAAATCAGTGCCACATAGCTAGAATTGGTGCCACACCTTCAAAGCAAGATGAAAAGATTCTTCTCCAAAGTCAACTCCTTTATTAAAAAAAAGACAAATCAAGTCAAAAAGTATACGAACGTTCTTTCGGACCGAACGGGTGCCGCGTGAGATCTGCTACCCAACACTGCACGTAAAACATGGCCGCCTCCCCCTAGGTCCCAGGCAGAGGGGAAGGGAGGCAGCGCCTGACAACCGTGTAACAAACCCTCTCTCCAGCGGTGCGAGTCATTTTCAATAGTATACAGAACGTGGAAGGCTGTCGTCTCTCCGCACAGAAGCCGCAATTTCCTCGGTTGCTCGACGAACCACCTGCTGCACGACGAACGCCTTGCTGGCAGCGGGGCCGCCCAAAAAGCCATTGTTCCTTTCATCCCACACCCCTTTTTTTTACTCTCTTTCCAAGTTCACTTTCGTGGTTGGCGCAACATCGATGAGCGGAGGTTGACTTTGTGCCGTGGCGTCTCTTGGGGGGTGTCTCAGCGTCCCCATCCGAACTCCTTCGAGTCGTCCTCTGTCACGTCCCCGTAGCACCAGAGGTTCAGCTGTAACGGACCGAGAAAACACAACTGCCCTTAACCGGAAAGGTCCACTGGCAAGACAAACAATCAAGTTTGGTAACCAACTAACCAAAGTAGTAGAGAGCTTTCAAGGTATGATGGCAGAAATTTCTACTACGAGAATGGGCAATTACCGTGCATTTACCCACTGCAAATTCGCATGACACAAGTACCAATACTGCGGTAAGGGCAAACTCGCATTCCACGATGCTGGCTCTCGAAGAACTATCATGAGGGACATAAATAACAATCCTAACCTCTTAGCAGGCAGCCTGTATAAAAGTGGTTACTAGCAATACACTTGCACCGAGGTTACTTGCATAATACTAGTGTCAGTGGCTACTTGCATTATGCTCGTGTATGTGGCTACTTGTGTTACACTTCTGTCAGCCCAATTGCATTCAATCCACGCAAAGCACGTTGAATCCAAGTATGGAAGAAGTTCGTAGCAAGAACTTGCAAAGGAACCTCCCGGAAGGTGGAAAGCACAAAGGGGCTGCTGACATTTTTCTTTGAGACTCAGCTTCCTCAGTTAAACAAAACTAAACAGAAACATTTTCTGAAGTGCCACAATAGGACACATGGTCAGAAAATAAACTTTGCCCCACCCGACGAAAGGCTTTAGTGCAATATTTGTTTTTGTCAAACATTTTGAGTTAAAGGCCGCACAGAAAAATTGGCATCTGTCGGGAAAAAGACCGGTTCCCAACTTCCTTCTCGCTATTCACTCTTGAGCTCTTCTCTCCACAGGAGCAATTCCTTCTGTCTCGAAAGGAAAAAAGGAATTGAGTTTTCTCTTTTCTGGCTGCTTGTTGGCTTTTAAAGATGCACCAAGTGCTTTTTGAAAGAAAAAAAGTTTTTTGGTGTTATATTGTTTAAAAAGTGCCAGTTAACAACTATATCTAGTTCCAGGTTACGATACTGCCTATTGATCTCATGGCAATAAAAATCATGTGCTCTTTCCCTTGCCTTCTATTTTTTTTTTCCAGACCAATGGAGGTTACAAATGTTATCATTATGCATTTTGGGCACGTTCTGCATTTTATTTTGACAGACGCAAAATGTTAATGGCGCAAAAGGCATACGTATTTACTCACATAATTAACACACTTTTTTTCCCGAAAAATTTACACATATTTGGGGGGGTGCGTTCATTATGCAGGGTAAAATTTTTGCATTTCCACCCTTTGTGAAAATGTCACTTTAGGTGCCAATATGACACGGCAGTCTACTGTGGCACATCTCCAATGACGAAGGCGCACTCAAGGTTGGTTGTGGGTGCGCCACAGTAACCATGATTTATAAATTGCGAACCTTTATGGGGCGCTTTCAACGTGCCTTTTACCGAAGGAAACGAGCCCTACGAAGCTCACTGAGCACGGCAAGCGACGCGTCCTTTCTTAGGGCAAACCACTTTCACGATTTCACTGTCCGAAAGTGGACCACAGATGACGGCGTGTTTGTTGACATCAATGCATCCGACGAACGAAGCACATCCTGGGCTGGGCAATTCCTCGACCCCAGCTTCGTTAGGTGTGCGCGCCGCTCGGTTTCACGACTGATCACTTCCTCAACTATACACTTGAAGCCATTACGAGCGCATGTACTGAATTGGCTCGGCTTGACCGCTTGGCGGCGAAAGAAAATTGGCTTGGGGGCAGCCGAGTTGGATGCAGTTCGGGACTCGCGAAGCCGAAAATTGGACGTGTGTTTATTAAGCAAGGGAAAAAAAATCAAAATATAGACACCCGTTGCGTTCATTATGCGAGTACATATGGTATGTGTGCTTGGAACATATCTGCAGAAAGTCTTTGTGCAAGTAATGAAAGAAAGAGACAGTGTCTACGGACCGTCTTTGGCGCGATGTAGAAGCAGCGCGACCGCAGCTTTCGGTCTCCGAGCAAAATTTCAGCTGCCGGTCCGAGGCCGGTTCCTCGAGAGGAGGGCACCCACCCGCTTAGCCTTGGCAGAGTCCTGAGCTTGGGCATACTCCCGGACGAGGTCCTGGAGGTGGCGGTCCCTGCGCTCCTCCAGCAGCACCCAGCCCTCCTGGAGCAGGCTCTTGCCCACGTCCAGGCCGCCCTCCTTGACCAGCAGGGTCACAAAGTCCTGGCCCCCCACCCGGTACTCCACGTTCAGCTGCAGGGCTGCCTCGGCCGTCAGCTGTACCATGGCCTGGCGGGCCTCCTGGGCCTGCTCGGGGTCCTTGGGCAGGGCCACCAGGGCCAGCGAGTACTCCCGGGCCATAGGGGGCAAGTCCCGGATGCCCAGCGAGGGCAGGGGCGCCAGCCGGCTCACGTCCGTCTTGTCCCGCTGCGCCCGAGGAGACAACACCGTCTGAGCATATATGTAGGTGTGGACGCCGCACGCGCCGCAGCTACTGAAGCCCTCTTCTCGCCTCAATTGCAAGCGGCGCTACCGGACGGCTTTTTCCACAAGCAGCTAACGGTACCCTGTTGCAGGACCGGTTTTCCGCACTTCTCTCTGGGAGACGTGCTACTTTTCCAAGTTATTTTATGGGCCTAATGCGTCACATAGAACTTGCACAATGCATGCTGCTTAGGCACAGCTTTGTCCTTGACCCTAGTTTCGTGCCCAGAAGGTGGCAAGAACAGATATGAACACACTGAACCGGAGAGATTTCTGGTGCAGTGTTCGAGCCAGCGCTCGTCGAGGCCAGAGCAGATGCGTTGAGTGGAAAGGTGGGCGTTCGCCCAGTGCAATGGCAACTCAACGCTTTTTTCTTTTTTCTACGTGCCGATAACCTATGCTGACAGCAGAGACGCTGTTGGCACAGGCTAGACGGGCGTGCACCAATAGTACTTTATCCGGTCAATCGTATCGCAGCATTCATTGTGCCGCATATCCTCACCTAAAGAGAGTGTCTTACGCCATGAGGCACGCTAACGTATCGAGGGCCGTCTGAACAGTCCATTAATTCGTTCCTAAATTTGGGACTGTTCGTTAGAGGCAAATGTTGTTTTGGCGAACAGGATCAAAGGCAACGAACGAATGCCCGACGAGTTTTCCCCAAAGATTTCTTAATTTCCCGAAATTTCACCAAAGTCCCCCAAATTTCACAAAAGTCCCCAGAAAGTTTCACTAAACTTCACGAAGTCGCCCGGAGCTTCCCCGCCCTAAGAGCGGGACTCACATTGCCGTAGTCAATGAAGAAGATGTCCACTTCGCCGGAACTGGAGACCTTCTCGACCTTGGCCCTGTACCAGAGGTCGTCCTCGCTGAACTTGGCTGCACACAGGTCTCCCTTCTTGGGGGCGTAGGCGCCCGGCATCGGGGGGTGCTCCGTCAGCTCCTGCCTCAGCAGTGTCAGCATCTCCTCCACTTTCGGTCCTGCAAGGATGGGCTCCTCTTCAGACAAAGCCCAAGTGCCGAACATGGTGCCGGGAATGCATTTTCAACTGCTCTGTTTACTGTGCCCTCAAATTTTACAGGTTCCATCGTGCTGACGAAGACCACGAAGCACAGAATGTGTCCTGAACTTAGTCAGCGGAAAAATAAAAAAGAAAAAGATTTTTCTTTTACAATTTTATCCGTTGCTACTTCGGGACCTCTTTCGACGTACGGGCAGGATGAAATGCTAAACACACCGGTCGTAGACGCTTGCCGGGCCCCGTGGTGCCCACACCGGTGGTCCTGAGCGAAAGGACGAGAAACGGCGACAAACGGCGACAGAAAAGCGGAGAAGCGGGTGATAGGTTAGGCGCGTACGCTTTGCCGCTACGAGTCGAAGTTGCTCGACAGTACTTACTTTTATACGGCGAGAAGCCGGCACTTTTCTGCGAAGTAAACTCAGGAAGAAACCTCACAAACAATGTTTTGCACTTTTCGTTTTTTTACGCGCATATATTAAAGCACTGCCAGCAATATGGGCTTGTCGGAACCACCGACGTCCGCATCCGTGCCCCACCGTTTCGAAGCAGCAAAAACGCCTGGGCGCTTCGGCCGCTTTTTTTTTTGGCATTACGGTGGCAAAGGCGGCGATTGCGTGTTACTTCGCGACGACATAGTACGGACAAAACTGGTGCACCTGCGCAGCACAGATTCTATCGTGCGCAGTGTCAACGGAAGGCCCGCTCAAGCTGGCGGGGGTGGAATGCGAAACTTGACTCTCGTGGATGTGCACTCCAGTCTCGACCCCACCATTCCGCGTCTCCCCGTTTCCTCCGAGAAGTGCGTTCGTTCTCTCGCCCCTCGTGTCCCGCACTCTCTCCCACCGTAAATGCGTGCGCACTCGCCGCCTCGCATTTTGAAGCGCTTGAAACTCGCTCTTCTCACGTGCACTCTTGAGACAGCTTGCGAGGCGTTGGATTCGCAACTGGAGGTAAACTCTTTTGAAAGTAAGTGCTTCCACGCTTTCTAAATGCGTAGCATTTAGAAAGTGTCAGGTTCACTCACTGGCAACTGCTTATGACCGAGTGCTCTACGACCTCTCGCGATATCTTAGGACGACAGGACGCACTGGCCCCGTCCATGAGGTGCCCTGGAACTGTATTTCACCAGAGCCAAGGTTTGGCAGTACTTGCGACATCTAATGCACATACAATCTATGAGAAATGCTCATTTATAACATTGCTAAAAGTTTTTCGAACTACCGTAATATCCCGAGTCATCGCCCATCCCCGAGCCATCGCCCACCCCATTTTTTAGGCCAATATCGATTTCCGAAAAAACACCGAGTCATCGCCCACCCCTTCAAATACCCCAGCGCGGACTCTGAGATCCGTGAACACTCATCCTACCCAAATGACGCGGTCGCGGACCTTACAGTTGGAGGACGTCCGTGACAAAGTAAAACGAAGGAGGGAAAGACACTTCTTTTTGTTTACGCATTTCCTCCGTGAGCGACCCCAAAGTGGTCGTGTATCCGTGCGAAAAGTAAACGATAAAGATAACAAAATAAGAGTTTGTTAACGTAACCGCGGAGTGCTAGGTCAAAGTCTCTCCGCCGAAGTAAGGTCACCGCGAACCCGCTCCTTCTTCCCGCCCGTCGCGACCGCGGTTGTTCAATATTTTAGGCAAAGCCAAAGCGTAAATAAAGCTTTGCTGGAACGTCCTACACAGACGTTTGCAGAGCGTCCCAACGTTGCATTGATAGCCCGCCGTGCACGGACGCACGTATGTACGCACCAAACAAGTTGCGCAAGAGCTTGCAATTGACAAGGCGCCCGACTTGGCCCGACGCCAAAGTATTTGCCAACGCGACCGCCGGCTTTCCCGCTTTCCCAGCATTGCTCTTGGTCGCTTCTTTGGTCCGCTCGCTCGCTGGCTCGTTGCGCCTGGTTGGTTTTTCTATTTTCTTGTAGACTTTTCTTTCTTTTTTTTTTACTAACTAGGAGAACATAATGGTGACATTCTTTCACGGAACAAATGTTCGCGCTACATGCAGATCGGCGGTGTTTCTAGCGCGTATGCAAGCAACGGACTTCGCTATTGTAAAATATTCTTTCGTGAGCATTTTTTCTATAAAACAATGTAACTAAATCGAGTTTTGAGTTTGATGTATCTCTTGTGCATCAGCGCTAGATACGCAAAGAAAAATAGGCGGTTTTTTCCGCTTTTTTTTTTCAAGTGTTTGTGCTCACCCACCGAGACATGGCCCACCCCACTTTTTTAACGAATTTCAGGCGGTAGGGGGGTGGGCGATGACTCGGGATATTACGGTAATAATAAAAAATGATCCGTGAAAAAGAAAAAGGTACAATAAAATCTACGATTACAATTGATATGAATTTTGGGATGACGGTAATTTCTTAAAAGCCCCAGCCGAAAAGCCTCATGTGTAATGAGTTTCATTTCGGGATAATGTGAATGCTCTTTCGGGCCCCGGCTGGCGATACAAACAAAAGCGGTGACCTCGACAAGGCGGTCTCTCATTTTGAAAAATATAGAGGGACATCGTGGTAAACGACGCCGCGGTGCTTCCCGATGCTTGGGTGGGCATGAAGATATTTCGAGAGAGAAAGCCTCAATATTCCATTCTACTAACTAGGACCACGTTTCATTACGCCACGAGCGACCCCTTTGCGCAGCTGCACCATGGGGCCACGGTCGCCACGGCTAGAGAGCTACGGCTAGGGCTTGGGCGTTCTACTCTAGCCTTAGCCAAGACCTTTTGGCCCTATCTAGGGCTAAAGAAAAAAAAAAAAAACCTTGAGAAATAAAAAAGCTGTTCGATCCCAGGGCCAGCGCAATACCTCCGGTATTGCACTACCTCCGGGATCAAACCAGGTTTCTCATCCAGAGCCATCTGTTCTTACCGAGTTCTATGTATGCACATTTTATTACCTTTCTGGAGCCTGTTTCAGACGATACAAATATTTTACACGACCCTGAGAGATTCATATCATTGACATTCTACCATATGCGGAAAGTGTTCCACAGGTACCTGCTAGGTGGCACCGGTGTCTTCTCTCTTCATAAGGGAGAGGTCGTGAGGTGGTAAGCAGTTGCAAGTGTGTCAACTAGCCTTTAGGGGTCTTGTGCCTTGGATCTAGCCTCTGTGGTGACGTCATGCTGCTCACGTCACAGTGTGCGTGACCGTGGTGTTGGAACAGTGCCCAATCCTATAAAGTCGGGTCACCTTTTTTTTTTTTTTTTACATGAGACCGTGATGTCATGACACGTCACGTGACACCTCGTGACAGGGCGATGTCACGCAACACCATGACATGACAGAGGCCCTATAAATGCTATGCATTTAGAGCACTTTAAAATCTAATGAAGAGATGGGCAGTTCTTTTTTTTATACTGGTGAATTTTCCCACTCTTGAATTACAGACAAATGCTATAGGATCGAGCCGCCTAACACACTCTAGAGCTCCATTCGAGGCTGGGGACGGCCGAGGCAATCCAGGAGTCCGGGGGCCCGCGCCCTGCAAGAGCCCCCTCGTTGCTTCTCACCGTCGTCGAAGAACTGTACGTAGAAGGAGAGGTCCGGCTTGACCTCGGTGACCAAGACGTTCTTGTAGGTGACCTTGCGCTCCGAGACCACCTCGGCCTGCTTGGCCTCCTCGGAGGGCTCCTCCCAGCCGGCCCAGATGCGGTCGCGACGCTGCTTGGCCTGCTCCTCGGCCAGCTGCAGGGCCCGGAAGTGGGCGCTGCGCTCCGCCGTGAAGTGCACGCTAGCCAGGCCCTCCCGCACCAGGGCCACCGACAGGTTCACCCCCTCCACCGTCAGCCATCCGATGAAGTTGCCTGCCTTGTCCATGGCGTCCACTTCAACCTCCACCTGGGATCAAGGCACATCGGGGCACGCTTCAATGTTTCGTCTCGATTAGATAGTGTTTGTGAGGTCGGGATTCCGTCGTGTTGAACTACTAATGCTTTTCTCTGTCATTTTTCCGTCGGACTTCAGAAGAACGGGATCTCCTTCCCACACCAACAGCACCGATCAAAGATCACAAACAGTTCAGGAATGTCATAGCTGATATTGTATACCAAGGAGGCATTTTACTGCACCAATAACAACTGCACTTTGTTACTTCACTGCTATACCGTAAAATATTGAATGAGCGCCCACTCCACTTTCTCTGAAAACTGGGTTAATTTAGACGTGGGCGCTTGTCCGATATAGAAGTGGTCGTTTCCGTGGTTTTTAACGATTCCCCTAATATCTTAAGCCCTGACGGTATATAAAATAAAGAAATAAAAACATGCGCGATAGTGCTGGATATTCTATGTCATCTACAGTGCAGTCCACTTATAACGATACCACTTATAACGATATATCGGTTATAACGATCGATTTTATAGAAGCATCAATTTTTGCATTGGTTCTATGTAAGAATTAACCATATATAGCGATGCATTTTTCCCGGCATATTGGATATAACGATCAATAAATGATCGCATAGAATGTGTTTAGTACAAAAATTTAACAGAAAATAAGATAAGAATTGTGAAATTCTGCGAAGAAACGACCGAGATTGGCGGACGCAATCATCGCCGATGGGCCCCGACCGAATACTCCGTGAGTAGGCGCTGCAAGCGACCTTAAAACCTCCGTGCTATCATCATCATCATACTTGTAACCTTGTAACCCCTTCCCGCCCTCCTCTTCCCCGCGTCGCTGGCATAAAAGATGGCTCCGACGAGGCGAAAAGCTATCTCCTTCAAAGAGAAAAAGCAAATCGTACGTGATTGGCGGCAAGGATTCAAGGTCGGAAGTCTCGTCCGGAAGTATGAGCACTCTCAGTCGACGATATCGACCATGCTGAAATCCGGGGACGTCGTAATGAAGAAGGCTGGAACAAGCGGCTTTGACGACCAGCGGAAAAGGCTTAGGGAAGCCTTGTACGAGGATGTTGAGGAGGCCCTGTACCAGTGGTTTCTTACGATCCGAAACAAGAACATGCCTTGGATTTTTTTCAGCATGTTTGACACCATTTCATTGCGTGCTTGCTGATGAACCTACAATAAAACTGTTATACTGCGGCGCTTCTTCTAAGGTGTGATTCAGTAAACACTGGTGAGTAACCTTCTGCTTGGGGGAACTATTTTGGGCAGTTTTAAGGGTACAGGGTCCGGATACAATGATAATCGGTTATAACGATAAAATTTTCCGCATTTAATAATATCGTTATAAGTGGACTGCACTGTACTAGATTCGGACCTCGTGTTGCAAGAGCTGCCGAAACCAAAATGTGCCAAGTGTGCGAGTTATTGCGGGAAAAATGGTTACAGAGCAAACATATCTACAGTAGCTGGTAACATGACAAGGCTATGAGCATGAACCGTGTGTAAGATATGGACGCAAGCTTTGGAAATAAAAAGCATGACTAGGGACACTTCAATTTGTGCCTCCTATCTACATCTCTCACATAAAAAAACCAGTTGAGGGTGCTTCATTTTGCACCCCTAGAAAAACCTCATAGATCAATTGGGGTTGTATGGCACAGAGCTGCTGATGCCAAGATGCATGAAGTACATGGACTATAGTAGGAAAAATCGTTAAAAGATACTACCTAAACGTTTTTAATTTCTTTTGTAAATCACTTTTTAGCGAGTAATCCTATCAGCTCGCAGATAACCCGACTGATGTCGGAAAAATCAAATTTGGGGGTATTCATGCCAAACCAATGACAGGTATCTGGCACGCCCCAGTGGAGGACTGAGGATTAATTCAGACCTGGGTATAGTTTGACGTGCAACCGAATGCTCGGTTACACGGCGCCTTCTCCGCAATAAGCCTCCGTCAGATTGCGGGCACCTCGGCCGGGATTCGAACCCGCCACCTGGGGTCCGTAGGCCGGCCATGGCCTCGAAGCCACTGAGGCAGCTCACCACGACTATAAAAGTGAGCCCGAATCAAACCGGTCAAATCTCGACAGGCGGTTTTTCAAACAAAAACGAAACAAATTTCTAGCTACAAATTGTGTTGTGAATAGTTAGGCTCTCGTATGTCACATACAGATAAAAACCTTGGAGAGCGTAAATACACCGTCAGTGTCCCTGAATGCTGAACCGAAATTTGGATTTCGCAAAAGAAGCCCGCAGAAGCGTTAAACGGGACACTATTAACTCCAAAACATCACTCAAACACCAATATCCCAAATGGATGGCCAAACTTTTATAAAAGAAGGCCGCGATCAAGCGAGGGATGTGACGTCACGATTTGCTTCAACAGTTGAGAATGAGGGGAAACGGCCTCGCTTCTCTCCTGTTCCCTTCGGTTCCCCTGCTTACGGGAACAAAGGGAAGAGGAGAGGGAATGAGAATCGTGACGTCACGTTTTGTCAACCTCGTCAGCCGTGTTCAATCGCACACTTCCTTTCAAAAATACGGTCGTCCATTTGAGACATTGCTGTACGAGTGATGTTTTCGGGTTTTGCAGCGTCCCGTCTATCGCTCCAGCCTTGTTTTATGAGCTCCGAATAGGCTGCTTCTGAGTAAGTGTACAAATTTCTCCCGACAGAGCTCAAAATGATAAAAATGAAGAGAGGCGAACTGTCCTAAACCGCCACTGCAACGAGCTGACAGAGACTGGAAGGACGAAGTGCAAGAGCAGTCAAGAGAGACCTCACCTCCCTCTGCAGGCAGAGTCCCTTGGTGTAGGCGAGGGCCTCGTTGCCAAAGGGCTCCCCTTCCACCTGCTGGCCACCCTGGAGTCGCGAGGCCTTCGGGCACGAGATGCCTGCACACGACACCCTCCGGCTCACCACACATGCTGGCTCACATCTAACTTGCTGCTACAAACAACACTTTGGGTCGTGTAAGTGCAGCTGCACGATTTGACCGTTTACGCGCATAATGCTGACCAAGCACCAAATGAGCGCTGACGTCAGCGTCGATGCAGCACAGACTTTGCGCTGCCTCGGCCCCGCGCTATATTAGGAGCTTTTCGGAGCTTTTCGAGCTGTTTCAGAGCTTAAGAAATGCACAATTCACGTTGCATTTCTAAACCTTATGCAAAGAAATGAGGCAAGTTGGAAACTTTCCATTAAATTGTGAAGTCGCGCCAAGTCGCGACAGGCTGGCGTGACCACGACGTCGCGTGAATCTACTCCGATTCTTTGCACAAAGTTGAGAGACGCAGGATGCGATGCGTGCATCTTGGCATCTTGAACGAGCCTAAAAGCCTCGAAGTCCGAGAGCCCGCGCGCATCGAAAACTTTAAAAACACCAACAAAGTCCGAGAGGCTGAGACCCACGCGACACGTATTGCATCTCTATCAACTTTGTGCGAAGGATCGGGGTCATTTCTTCTCCCACTCTGTGGTAACCGATCGTGTTCCTTCCCACCACATCGTGCGCTGCTGACGCCATGTGGCGATATCATTGAAGGGGCGTCGCCGAAGTGGACAATCTCGGGCCCACAGCGGCGCTGCCTGAGGATGACGAGGCTAGAAAAGGGATGGAGAGACGACTGTTATAGCTCTCGGCTGCGCGGGACGAGTGAAGACGACTGCCTAGCTTCTGCACCGCGGGGCTTGGATTGTCGCCGCACGCCAGTGACCTTCCCGGAGCCCCTGGATGCTGCTGTGCCGTGTCGAAACCGACGCGGCCACTTGCCCGGAACCACAGGTTCCCATGGACGACGTTTGAGCGCCTGCAGGCCATTGGGAAGCCGACCCATGGACGGCGTTTACGCACTGCCCGCCGACTGCCCGGATATTGACGTGAGGCTTGCCTCGTAAACATTGTTGGGTTAATAAACAGTTAACCTCGAGCATGTGTCTGTCCACCCGAGGAAGGGGCGTTAAAGAACCGCCCACAACTCTTAGTACTATTCTGTGACTTTACTTCCAGTCCCTCTCCTCTTTGAATAAGGTGTATGAAACCGTTGTTTCTGCGTCAACGGGACGTCAGCTGTGGCCAACCCTCTTGAAAACTAGTCGGATGCCACACCACTTAGGGTCCCTGCAACACGTCGACAACTAGGGCATTTACCGCCTCCTCGTTTGTGGCCACTCAATTTCCACCCACCGACGTTGTAAAAAGTCGTGCCGTGGCCTGCCACAATCCTGGCGTTAGCGCAGCAGCCAGCGTTGTCGGAACCGTAGAAGAGCGGAGGGGGAGACAGCCGCCCGCCCCATTTCATGTAAAGAATACGGGCCAGGGGGTGGGAAATCTCGCTCACCCCCTGCCTCGTGAAAGTTTTACGACTACACTGAAACGCACCGGCAAGCAGAAAAGTGGCCAGGCAGTTCTCGCGGGGGATGTAGAGGCGCAGCCGGGACCCGCTGGCCACAAACTCCACCACGGCCTCCATCTTGCCGGCCCGCTGGAGGAAGGGCAGGAACTGCTTCGACTTGGCCGGGTCCTGCAACCGTTGGCTTCCCATTAGACGAGGGCTCCGAAAGAAGCCGGGAAAGTGAGACCTGACAGCGGGACTGGGGTCCCGCTTACCTCGCACTAGAAAACAATTCTACATTCGCGAGCAAAATATGCCCCTTACCTGCACCGGCGTGACAAAGGCACTGCTAACGCAGACCCTACGCTGGCTTTAAGAGCACCCGCATCCTCAACGATGAAATGAACCTTGGGACCTTTTTTGGGGAATCAATGTAGGCCCGTTGGTCATGTGCAGGTGTGTGTCACGGTACAAGTGGTCGCGTGGGATAATTTGTTATGGGGAACTCGTCACTAGGCCCACTGAATCGCACGGTCTGACGGCGCCCATATTTACTTGAAACTATGTGGGCACGCACGATTGCCAACACATCGGCATTAATAACTGAGTCTTCAGTTTTCCGTTGGCATCCCTGCGTACTAAATATCAGTCTGTCACTCGCTACACCAAAGAGAAATAAGACCCAAATGAGGCACTCTTATAAACAATGTCACCTGCCCTCGAGAATTTTGAGATGTCATTACCATAGTGGCTGAGAATGACCCAAAGGTGGCCATTATAGTTGGCGTGCTTCTTCCATACCCTTCAAGATAATGCGCTGTCTTCTGCTCAAGGGACGTGCAGCACACCTCCTCTCTAAGTGAAAACTTCTTTAAAAATCGGAAGAGCACAAGCACAAATAATCTCTCTATAACCTAAATACTTTGTGCATTCACACAAAAAAAACAAATAAAAAAAAGCAACCATTATGCATTTTGGTTTGGGCAAATCAGCAAATCCAGTGATTATAGTACGGCAACCAAGGCACAGGCTTTGTTCCCTTATTTGGGCACAAGCACAGTGCCGAGAATCAATTTTAGAGCAACAATGAATCAGCCTTTTTATTCGAGCTTCGCTTCTTCAGTATTGGCTGGATCATTCATAAAGTTTTTCGTCGCCTTTTGCGTTATTGTCACTATAGTGATTGCGCCAGAATGTTGGCCGTCATTCTTCCAGCTGTCCTCTTTCATAGATTAGTACATTCAACGTTCGGCACAAAACCCAGAATTAAAATTTTTTTTTTTTTTTTTTTTTTTGAAACCTTTCACATTAGCCTCGTTGACCTTCCGCGGCTTTATCGAGGTTGATCCCCTCCCAAAGCCTCCCAGGAAACCAAAACAAAACGCACCATATAAAGACCTCGAGGTTTCTCGTGCGACGAGTCTTCCAAAGAGGAATATTCCACCGCGACAAATGGGCCTCTTGCCAGTTGCCCTAAGATGAGCCGACAAAAGACGAATAGGTTGTATCCCCTAGCGATCTCGGCACATCCAAACCACGCCAAAAAAACTTCGCTATAGCTTCCTCGGCGCTTTACCACCTGCCTACATCACCGGGCTCGGTGACATCACCGATCCATAGAGAAATGCATCACCATAGAAGACAAAAAGGAAGATACCGCTCCTCGGTGGTCATCGGCACCATCACTTGCGAAAAAGAAGCCGAGAAGGTTTCCAAACGTTGGGTTGAGCGAGTGACCCAACGCTTGGAGCGAGCGACCCAACGTTTGCCTTCTCAACACCTCCGAGACGACGAAATCATGGATTTTATTGTCGTGCACCGCCGGCACAGGGCACAGACTGGACGTGAGCGATGCACGAAGACACTCGTTCCGCCCAAGTGCCGGATGCGCTACTCGTGCCCGGACCATTTTCTTGCTACGCCCTTCCGCCACTGCGCGGGCTTGCGGGGACGCAAAATGCAACGGCGCCTCCTTTCGGTGCCTTCACGAAAAGGGTGCGTGCTCCTCAGCCACCTCACCCCGGACAGGTCGACGACCCTGTGTCCTGAGGCGTCCTTCTTGGAGTGCAGGCCCCTGCTGGACTTCTGGGCCTTCATCTCCGCGGCCAGCAGCTCGTTGTAGTGGGCCGAGCGCTGGTCGTCGTCCTGCCGGTAGCGCACCACCGTCGCCAGGCCCTTGCTCACCAGGGCCTCCGCCACGTTGCTGCATGGCCAAACGCCGGGCTCGAGCAATTACAGACGGCAGGATTACCGTATTTACTCGAATGTAACGCGACCACGATTGTAACGCAAGGGGCAACTTTTCAAAGCGCAAAAAAAAAAAAAAAAAAGAACACAAATGTAACGCGAGTTAAGTGAGGGGAAAAAAGTACCTTAAAAAGTACTACAACGTGGTCCGCGGAAGCCTTTTCGGCCGGGTTCACACTTGAAGAGCACTTCACGCTGGAGCCTCCACCCATGGATAGTCGATTCTCTCACATCTACCCGTCTAGCCGCGGCAGAGTTTCCGATTTCCTCAGCCATCATAATTGCACTTCTTTTAAAGCGGGCGTCGTACTGAGCTCGTCGCGTCGCCATTTGCTCGAGTCCAGTCGCGGAAGCACGTAGCAGCAGCTCTCAAAACACGGACAACACGGGCACATGGGTACGGTAACCGTAACAAAGAGAAAGCGTTGTGAAGGTAACCCGTAACCCTAACATGGGTGCAACAAGTCGCAAACAAGAATAGGATTGGATTGGCTGTTTCCAGCGTGTATATGTTGCCAGCAGAAGATTGAAAGATAGCGGGATTTGTCCTAGCCATCTTAAAGAGCCTGTGCTGCGACACCGCCAAGGCAAATTTTGAGGCGTTTCGATTATAACGCGAACCCCCAAATTAGGTAAAGGAAATTTGAAAAAAAAAAACTCGCGTTACATTCGAGTAAATACGGTATATTTAGAATTAAGAATGACGAAAACGATGTTGCCCGACCTGACAGACAGTGTATGTAAAGCTCACGAAGTTGCATTTTCTAATCGTAAGGATCACTAATAGACCATTCCAGAAATTGTTTCGACACACTAAGGCAGTCCGATGTACGGCGCGTGAAGGAAAACCCATGAATATGCGGAGCGGTTCGTTTTGGTATAAAATTTTGCGATTTTGGAACAAAAATAGAAAGGACGATACATTCTCAGTTTTGTGATGTCTTCACTCCGTTTCCTTCGTGTTCTGAACTCGAAGTGGTAAGAGAAGAAACCGAGCCGCTTATAGGACGCGCGAAGCAGACGAGCTGGCGTCGAGCGTACATTGGAACGGCCCTGCAACTTTAAGCGCCGCGTGGTGCGAGTCTTCCAGTACGTTGCCACCTCTCTGCACCGAGCTTTCCCGGACAAAAATTGGGCAACGAAGTGCCATGCTTTCACGAGTGTAGCCCGACGTTCGGCGGGGCGACCACTCACATGCCGCCGATGGTGACGGTGCAGCAGGTCTTCTCCGGGAAAGAGTTGGAGGCTGGCTGCTTGTAGTCCACGCCCACCTGGACGTTCTTGCCAATGAGCTTCTTGCGCAGGAACTCCCGGGCCTCGTACATGAAGGGGATGTCGTACAGGGGCCGGAAGTTGCGCTCCTTGCCCCCGGACTCCCCACCGCTCGCCTTCGTCTCCTCCGACCGCCTGGGGGCGAGAGGAAAGAAAACGTCTCAATGCAGAACGCGTTTTACACAGCTGGCATCCAACCATATCCAACTAGGCGCCAGGGACGAGAGTCAACGCGACGCGGCCGCTCGTCTCCTCGCCGATTGGACATTGATGCCTATCAAACGTCTTCTTTGAACGCCTCCGTGTCACTCCCTACGGGGGTAAAACCTAGCGTGATCGGACATACGGTTGCTCTTTCTCTGGCTTCCCCAGAGAAAGAGCAACAAAAAAGCAGAAAGAAAAAGGAAGACAGAAAACATATGCTACATTGTCACGCTCAGTTTACGCGCCACTCCACTTGGCGCAGTAGAGTGCTTAGATTTAAGAGAGGGAGCAATGGAAACTACGGAGTTTGCAATTGAATGGTGGATGCCTCCTAAAGCTTCTGGGCAAATTGATTGCAACTGCGCATGCGTTACATTGGCTTGGGTCAAGGAGAAAAACGGGCAGAGAGGCAGAGATGCTTGCAGGCGATCGACGCTTCCTTGTAGCTCGTAAGCCATGTGTGATTCCGACCGAGCAATTGGAAGCACTCTGCAACCATGCTTACTGTGGTGATGGCGCATTCCCATTGTTTTTGCTTTCTGCATGCTGAGTTTACTGTTTCTTGTTCTCCAACGGGCTGGGACAACTCTACATCTATGCAGGGGACGACATCGCAGGGTACGACACTTACAATTAAGACATCCACCGTATGCTCATGCATTTACCACACACGACAGAAGACTGCGGGCTGCAGGCACGGAGCCTTTGAGAGGCGCTCCCAGGTCCTCCAATGAGCGGGTGAGGCTCTACGAGAAATGTTGGAATCTCGTGGCGGCAAAGGATTCCTGTTCGAACACTGCATGCAGCAGTAATCCCCGGCCATCTACTGGAAATATGGCAGGCACAACGCCGCTCGCGGACCTTATCGAAATCATGTCCAGCAATTTTGGCAAAGCTGACATGGATACCATTAGTGCCATCCAGTCTCCTCATATGTGTGTCAGGTTTCTCTAGACTACTACATCAACTTGTGTTACACTTCCTCTGCCATGCTACAGTCGAGGACGGTTAAATCACACACTTAAATCAGGTCCGGGTATTTCGAATTGTTTATATCGAACAGTCCAAACATCCCCTTGAAAATCGCTGCCACGTGGAAAAAGGAAGGCAGAAATCATGATGGTAGTCTTCAAACTACCTATGAAAAGCCGCAGAGAGTGCGGGAGTTTCGGAAATGGATCAATCTAGGGTGATTGACGTTCGGTAGAGGCAATCGGGAAAGAATTTGAAGGAACCCCACCTGGGCGGCCGTATGCTCGAGAGGAAGATCTTGCGCAGCTCTCCGTCTTCGAGCCGCACCACGAGGGCGTCCGCATTGATCACCTCGACCACCTTGCCCTCGAACTTGGCGTCCGCCCCTAGCCCCGCGGTGGGGGCGGAGTAGTCCTTCCACAGCCGCAGCCGCTTCTCCTTGGCCTCCCTGCAAGTACGACGCCATTCTCAGCCGACCAAAGAACTCGTGTGCATCGTCCATGACCAACGAGGTGGGGAAACACGCAACACTCAGCATCGGCTCTCGGAAAAACCCTCGTATAATACAAAATTATCCCGCCAATTTTCCCTGTAATATATGCAGATCCGATTTCACGCAGTTTTGATTTCAAGCCGTCGTCGGCACCATCATCGGTGAGTTGCGCCGTCGCGCGGCCTCCCCGCTCCCGATAGCACGTGGTACGCTGTCGCCGAAACGTTTTCGTCTGTGCCCGGACGTCGGTGACGTCTCCAGTTCTCCCCACAAGTCCCGTAAAGCTTCGTGATGGCATCGTCATGGAAGCAGTATTCGGCTGCACTCTAAAGAAAGGTTATCTTAGTAGACGAGAGTATCGACAACAGTGCAGTGAGGCAAAAGTTTACGGCAAAGAAAGGATACATTCATGGATAGGGGAAACTGAAAGAAGCCCTTTTCGCGCGCAAGGGCAGAAGAAAACATTTCCGGGGTCGAAGAAAGGAATGTTCGCCGAGACCCATCTGGACCAGACTCGGATCGCGAAGGAACATTGCGCTTTAGACCTCACCGCAAACACTGAGCTGCTGCGGGCAAAGGCTATGAGCATGTGGAATCCTGGGTCGTATTATACACGGATGAAGCATTTCTTTTACATTTTGGGTATATCCGGATTCATATAATACACAAATTTTTATGGTAAGTTCTGTCTAATGATGCTTTTCACTGCACCTGGGAAGCAGTCACCTCATTTCCATAACAATGTTTCATAAATGTAAAATTCCAAGCAACATGGATTGCGGCAGTAGTTTTATGAATTGCATTTTTTTGTGTGAGTTGAGGAACATTGCTGCATCAACCGCACAAAATCGTGTACATAGTTGCATGTGTGAATTAACACTGACACCTCTTTCAAACTTTACGAGATGAGAAATAAGTTCATTCTAAGCATTAGAATGCCAAAGTAAAAATAAGTGATACAGTATAGACCACTGACAACGTAACCGCTTATAGTGCAGGACCGGGTATAACGCGGCTTTTTTAAACCACCGGTTCGCCTCCCATAGAACTCCATGTAATTACCGCACATACCGCCTAAAATGCAGGCGTGCAAAGCAGTGATGTGATTGGCCTAAGCCGTTTTGGAGCAGAAAAAGTGGCCTTTGGAGCAGCCAAAACAGTGTTTTGGAGCAGCAAAAGTAGCTTTTAAAGCAGATATTCTAATAAAAATAAAAATATTTGTTTTAAATGCTGGACACGCAAAGAGAATCATGCTCGCCGAAATAAACCAATTATGGTGAAGTTCGGCCACCTGGGAGTCTTTCAAGATGTAACTGAAATGCCAATGACATGACATTTCTTTTTGCTTTTCGAAACATTCTGCAAGGCTGGAGCAAGCTTTGCTTTAGCTTAGGGTAGTAATGAATGTCCAATTTCAATGTCTTCAAAGAAATATTGCGACATGCCACAAGTGTACAGTGCTGTAGGCATTGCCAAGCAATTCCGAAAAACTGCTTGCCACCGTTTTACTGGTTGCCGAGGTGCCAGATTTTCGTCAAAACTAATTAAATGTAAAACAATGAATTGCAAGCGTCCCGGCTGGTGCCTCTGTTGTGCAATTATGTTCGCATCGTTGGTTCACATGCACGTGAGGGCAACTCCTGCAGGCTTGCAGGTCACGTGCTTCGTCGCGCGAGCGAAACGGCTGTTCGATCGAAACCGAAACCATGCCTCTCCGCTCTGCCGCCAACTGGTTGCCAAAAGTCTATGCAAAATGTAACTGCCCAGCATGCGACAAAAAAAAGTCCAGCGCCGCGTGCTTGCAAGGCCGGCAGGTGAGGTATGAGATAAACACAGAAAAAAAGAACCTGAGCGCATTGATGCAAGACATCGCGAGCCAGGGTCGCTTTGTGCAACGACTGAACTCGAGACAAACAAGCGCGCTCTGTGGGTTCAGCGTGCAGACATTCCCTTCTTTGCTTCAGCTCATTTCAACTTTTCTTCGCGACACATTTTTCACGTAACGGGGTCCCTCTCGAAAGAAAGCCCACCAAGAGAAACCTAGGTAATCAATACTTCGACACAGCAGTCTTTGAGCTAGAGAGGGAGAGGGATTTTGTAGCAGCGTATGTTTTAAACAAGAACATGAATGTTGATGAACATATGGCGGTCCTTATGTTTCAGTTTAGGAAGCTCCATATCTCCAACGTCTTGCGGCCGTTGATTTCAGGAGCGAGAGCTTCAGCTCAAAAAGTAACTCCCGCCGCGCCGAAACATAGTTTCGTTTCACAGCGTCACGTCATGGCTGGTACCCAGCACGCTAGCGTCGCAGCACACACACACACGCCGACAACTATCGTTAAAAAAAAAAAAGCGAGACGAGACTTACGCTTACGAGACGACGAGACATGAAAGGAGAGACGGCATGGCGGAAAAAACCATGCAAAAAACCATGGACGATTGATGCAGGGTATTTTGTGTCGGGCGGCCATTTGCGCCGCCTAGCTCATGCATGCTCAGTTACGGTACTTGGTTTAGTTTCAGTCTTGAAAGGCGACCAAAATTGGCCCTTTGGCACAGATTACCCATATTTTGGCAAAATGTAGCAGGATGTAGCAGGGTTCGCCCCTTGGCGCAGTTTGGCGCAATTGGCGCAGCCATCACATCACTGGCAAAGGGAAATACCGGTTATAGTGCGGTTTCTGAAACAGCCCGCCGACCGCGCCAACCGACCGGCGCAGCGAGCATGCTTCCCTGTGCGACACGAGATAACGGCACTAGCCGGCTAGCCGCAAGCGGCACTCGCGGGGGCAAGGAGGTTGCTCGAAGAAGCGGGGAGAAGCGAAGAGAGAGGCTTCAGTACCCATAGCGACGGAGGGACGCGTGCATGTGTCGTTCATGTGCGTGTGTTCCTCCACTGCATTGAAAACAACCGCAACCATAAACTGTGACCGCAACGACAGACCAATCGCAGGTCGAGGAGAAGTGTTTGCGCACGTTGCATGCCGGTCGCGGGCCGGCGTGGGCCGGCTTCTTCTATCCGCAAACATGGCGTCGGTTGTGATCGTCGACGTAGACGGCGTGGTGGAAGCTCGTCATTCCGCGTAAAAGCGCTATCCTTGACTGTGAATTTTCGTTGTGTGTCACTATGATAACCCAGCACGTACTAGAAGGGAAGATCCACCTACTCGTGCGGCGATGTCGTGGCAGCACTCTCAAGAGGGCAGAAACGCCCGTGTCGTCGTGTTTGTTTACTTCGACTACAGTGGTGATTTCTAAGCATTTGTGTTTTCGAACATCGCCCGGATTTCTTATTTGGAGCATTTCATGCCTGTGCTAAAGGTGAAGGTATTACTGGCGCGTACCATATAAAGGATACGAATTTTCACGAGTTTTCATCACCGGAGAAAAGTGATTAGGGTTAGCAATCCTAAAAGCTTGCAACGTCTGTCAGCAACCCGCGACGCCGTTAAAAGGTTGCGCCAGGCAAAAGTCGCTCATTTCTTTCGAAAGGTGTGACACACTTGAGAGAGAAGTGTACTAGTCTGGTGTAATAAAGACTTTCGTCAAACTAAGTTTTATTTTTCATCCAACATAAAATAAATTATTTTACAAAGGTAAGTTGTCTCATGGCATGTATTCTGGCCTGAAAAATTTATGTTTTGGTTATAGCGCGGTATTGCTTATAGTGCAGACTTTCGCGACTCCCGCGACATACGTTATATGCGGCCCACACTGTACTGCCTTAACTTTCGTGTCTCTTTCGACGTGGGCTGTGCTTTCAAAGTGTTGGGAATCACCTCACTTGACACAGCATTTTAGGAACCCTCACTCCTTTATACATCTTTTCGATTCTCTAATCCGGTCACTTCTTGAATATGCATCTCTCGCCTGGAATTCAGCATCTAAATCACGAGCCACGAGCATGAAAAATGTTTAGAAAAGAGTGGTTTCGAGTAGTCTATGATGGGTGCTTTGAACGGCACTCATACATATATTTATGGTTATACACTAGCACTGATTTCGCTTATGCTTTTGTCCACAAGGTGGTCTCTTTGTGACTGTATTTTTACGTAAGGCTGCAAATGGTGCCACTGATTCGCTAGCAGAATTAACTTTCACATTTTATTCCTCTTAACCAGACATTGTGTTTGACTTAATGTTCGCTCGCTCTGTAGCACTTCGCCGCTTTCACGGATTCAGTCGTTATATAAAGTCACCATTCCACCTCATTTCACATCTTTGCATCAGTAACATTGCACCGCAATTGATTAGACGACCCCGCACTTGCCTCATAACTAGAATTCCATGCTTTCGGTGTTTCTTTTTATTCAATATTGGGAGAGCTTTTTTTTCTTTTTTTTTACAGAGATAGCTACTATGCTTTTACAGAGATAGCTGCTAGCTGCACCACTCGAAATGACGTCCATTGCTGATGTTGTTGTTGTTAATGTAGTAGTAGTGGTAGCCCTTGATGTTGTGGTTGGCAATGTAGGTTGCCCGTCGTCGACGTCGCAAAATCCTCGAAAAAGATTGCCCGCTGCATGCGAAAATCGAACCTGGGTCTGCAGCGCGCAAAGCGGAGGTATTAGTACTGAGCTATGCCACAGCATTAACAACACGCTCTAAACTTGGGGGTTTTGTATCACTCAATGCCCACTGCATGTATTCTCTGGAAAAAAATTAATATAGCAGACAACGAAACGGTGTTGTAGTACTGTCAAGACCAAAAGCTCTTGCCAGGAGAAGCGCTTTCACACACTCGAGAACAAAAGAGAAACAAAAGTGCTTGGAACGAAATGGAACAAAACAAGTGTTTAGACCAGAAAGGTTTTGCTCACGCACTCTACGGTCAGTAAACGCGATGCTGATTCCCAACGACTTCGCCGAGACGTGTCGTAGCTGTCGCTACGACTGGACTGTGGGTTAACCCAAGACTGCTCAATTTTTTTCCCCACAAATTCCATGCACTTTGGTAGAAATATTTTGTGTAGAACAAAAATATCAGGGTTTACCGGGGCTATTGATAAGAGAGGGCAAGGAACCAACAAAAGAAGGCAAGGTACCGATAAGATGCTTGGTTTCGAAGAAATAAGCCCCAAGGACAGTTAAATTGCGGCTGCGTTTCGAGTCAACGCGGAGTAAAGCAACAAGAAAGATCCACAAGGGGATCGGTGGCCGGGTGGGTTAGCGCACACCAGCTCGGAGCACGTGGAGCAAAAGCTTGCGCTGCAGAACCCAGGATCCTGGGTTCAATCCCCACCCCTGCCCGTTTCGACCTAAATGAGCATCATACCGGCGTGCGGTCGTGTATCACTACTGCGTGGTGCACTTTAAAGACACCAGGCTAGCGGTTGTACTGCACTGGCTAAATTGCTCATCTACAGCGTGTGACTCGTTGCATCTTTGAAATGGCTGACCAACTACACGCCAAATAAATATCCACACAACCCCAATTATTATTAAAGACCCACAAAGCTTGGGACTTTCTCATTCGAAGAAAGCTCCAGTTCAAGGATTTTTGGTTTTTCCCGTTTTTGATTAATTACCTGCGGGGTTACCATTTTTGGGATTTATCGGTTTTTACCGAAAACATGTAGGCATACTTATAACACTATATACATTAATTGCATATTTCTTTATTTTACATATTTTTAATGCGTGTGCAAGTTTCATTTTTGTTTCCCGTTATTTGTGTATGTTTTTGTGTCAGTGCACCGAAGAGAAGACCGTTGTAGCTGTTCTTGGGCACCGAAAAATAAAGATTATTATTACTACAATACCATTATTAGGTTGTACGGTTCTCTAACTCGACAAGTTCCCCCAACTCGACCACCTTAGAAAAAGAGTTGCTCACTTTTCGGCAGCCTTGAGCTTCTCAGAACCTCCAGTGACCGTTGTCAGACTCCAGTCAATGCACTTGGCAAAGCCGTTTTTCAGCAGCCCCTCTGCAATGTTGCCATTCTGTGCAGGAATAACGTGATAAGGGTCAGCAATCCCTCTTTCCCGCTTCAATCAATGCGTGACCTCACCGAGAACACCGGCGCAACACCACAACAACTCATCCACAGTAGCATCGTCAAAAACTGCTTGCAAGATGAACCGCCATCGGCAGTGACAGTGGTAGAAATCTTTTATGGTGTTTCATTATATTGGGGGAAATTGCACACAATGGCCACCAAAATTGCAAGTAATGCCCAAAACGAATTACGCGGAATACGTGAAGAAATTCCACACGACTCCTATGGGCATACGGCGCATGCAGTTCAAATAGAACACAAAATTTATGTTTAGGAAATTAGCAATTTTTGCTATCTGGAGACCCGGTTCTTTTCAGATAAGGTGGAGTATAGCGGGTTTTAACTAGAGACTAGCAATGCGCAGTTCCATGAATACAGTATAGACCACTTACAACGTAACCGCTTATAGTGCAGGACTGGGTATAACGCGGTTTTTTTAAACCACCGGTTCACCTCCCATAGAACTCCATGTATTTACATACCACTTAAAATGCAGGCGCGCCAAGGGAAATACCGGTTATAGTACGGTTTTTGGCACAGCCCGCCGACCGCGCCGACGACCGGAGCAGCGAGCACGCTTCCCTGTGCGACACTAGATAACGGCGCTGACGGCTCGGGGCGAGGATGTTGCTCGAAGAAGTGGGGAGAAGAGAAGAGAGAGGCTTCAGTAGGGACGCACGCACATGTCGTTCACGTGCGTGCGTTCCTCCGCCCCTCCGCTGCGTGGAAACAAAGAAACAAACAACCGCACCGACAGACCAATCGCAGATCGAGGAGAAGTGTTCGTGCGCGTTGCATGCCGGTCTGCCGGTCGCGGGTCGGCTGTTTCTATCACTTCTATCCGCGAACATGGCGTCGGTTGTGATCGTCGTCGTAGACGGCGGTCATCTCATTGTTCTGCGTAAAAGCGCTATCCTTGACTGTGAATTTTCGTTGTGTGTCGCTATGATAACCCAGCACGTACTAAAAGGGAAGATCCACCTACTCGTGCGGCGATGTCGTGGCGGCGCTGTCAAGACGGCAGAAATGCCCGCGTCGTCGTGTTTGTTTACTTCGACTACAGCGGTGATTTCTAAGCATTTGTGTCCTCGAACATCGCCCGGATTTCTTATTTGGCGCATTTCATGCGTGTGCTCAAGTTCAAGGTATTACTGGCGCGTACCGTATGAAGGATGCGAATTTTCACGTGTTTTCATCTCCGTAGAAAAGTGATTAGGGTTAGCAATCCTGACCGCTCGCAACGTCCGTACGCAACTCGCGACGCCGTTAAAAGGCCGCGCCAGGCAAAAGCCGCTCATTTCTTTCAAAATGTGTGACACACTTGAGACAGAACTGTACTAGTCTGGTGAAATAAAGACCTTCCTCAAACTAAGCTTTATTTTTATCTAATATAGAAATAAATTCTTTTACAAAGGTAAGTTGTCTGATGGCATGTATTTTGGCCTGAAAAATTGATGTTTTGGTTATAGCGCGGTACCGCTTATAGTGCGGATTTTCGCGACTCCCGCGACATACGTTATATGCGGTCTACACTGTATTATGCCTTTCCCAACTTACGAGCTCTCCCGCAATATAACATTACTCGAATGCCCTGCACGTTAAAAGGTAGCAAAATAAAATCTCGTAAACTTTGAAAGGAACGAAGAAATCAACGTGCAAGACATGGGACGACGCAGGCACATCTTTCGTACCTGCGTTGTCTCTCACCTTGCATGTCTATTTTTGCTCGATGCACGACTACCAATACCCGCATCAATTCCCCTTAACCTACACTCCCCTTAGAAGCCCATTTACGACCACGACCTTCAGCGAAGCGAAAGATCCGCCTCCTTTTCCGGACTGCGAAGGTGATGGAAGAGGGCCAAGAGCACCACTTTGTGGGGGGCCAGAGCTGGCGGCATCACCTTCCAGGGGTCAGTGCAGGGACTCCTGTCCCGCCCCGCACTGATCTCCGCAAGCTGACGCAGCGTGTGGCCTCCAGGAGGTGCTGCCAAGAGAGAAGGCACTCTCTGCCTGCTGACAGACAGCTAAGTCCTGCCAGGGACCAGTTGGTCCATCGTGTACGAGAAAACAGAAAAAGCTACAAAGGAGGAACACACCCAGCTTTCCAATGAAGGCATCAGCGAGGCCTCTCTAGCCGTCATCCCAATCACTCTGTGTTCCTAAGAATAGAGAGGCTTGCGGCGACTCGAAAAGAACCAGCCTTTTTTCCGTCGGCCTGTAGGCATTAGTGTTTCTTTCCGTTAACCCAGCTGCTGGTTAGGGTGTTTACCAAGTTGACATTTTCAAAATCCCCGAGTTTTCCAGGTTTTCCCTGAGTACTTTTGTGAAATTCCCTGAGTGACACGGAACTTTGTTTTGGGTCAAGATGGGCTGACACCATGTCGCCAGATGCTGTCACTCTCTAAAAAGCATGTTATAAAATAAAAAAAACGACATAATACAGTTTTAATAGTAACGAGTAACTTTAATTAGATTCAAAAAGAAAACAGAACGGAGTGGTTAGTAAAATTCATAGCAAATAAAATATAAATAAAAGCTAAACTGAGGTTTACGTGACCGACCGACCGACCCCCCCCCCCCCCCCCCCCCCCCCCCCCAAGTCATGTAACCTAGGGGGGTGGGTCATGTGACCTCACGGTTACGCCGAAGGCGACGCCGCTCAAGCCGGAAACGGGCGCGCTGCGCTCTAAAAGAAAAACGGGAGCAATAACGGGGAAAGAAAAAGGTAAACAAAGATAAGGCGTTCAAAGTGCGATTGTTCAACTCTTGTTGACAACACACTCCACTTAACGAAATTTTTTTTTTGCTCTTTATTTTGGAGCTAAGGAGTCGCGCAGCGACAGCGGTGTTCGGGGAAAAGAGTGTACGCGACCTTTCCAACAACGCGCCTGGGTGCCCTTCCCCTTGCTTTTGCCATCCTCTACTTTTTTTGTTCTTATTGGTTTTTTTTTTTTTAATTTTTTATACAATTGCTTTTTCGCTGCGTATCCCCGCGTGCGCGTATGCTGGCTTGGCGGTCTGCCAGCCCCGCAACCCGAGCTATGTGCTCCCTGCCAGCGCAATCCGACCTCGGGAGAAGCGATGCTACATGGAGTGTCCCCGCCTTGGGGGTTACAGGCGTACGAAACAGAAAAACAATGCGATTTTCAAGGGGATGTTTGGACTGTTTCATATAAACAATAATTCGAAATACACGGGTGTGATATAACCGGGCTCGACTGTACGTTTGGCCCATTCCAGTGAAACCTGAAGAATTTTGGACTGTGAAAACCCATCTGTAACACTTAAAAAAATAATAATAAAAAAATTTCTTGATAAAAGCACAAATTTCCCGAGTTTTCCCTGATATTTTCCAGACTATTCAAAATCCCTGAGAATTCCCGGTTGGTAGACACCCTGCCAGTGTGCCTTGTCAATCTTTGTCCTCGCATTTATTACGGTGCCGTTTTCCGGCACGAAGAAACTCTTTCCCGAGAGAAGAACGGCGAAGGGGAGCGCCACTCACGGGGTGCAGCACGGAGCCGGTGAAGTTCTGGTTGGTGGCCCCCTCCAGGACCACCTCCACGTCCCTCTGCAGCAGCCGGCTCTCCGTGAAGTACTTGGCCTCCTCCACCAGGGGAGACTCCGCCCCCGAGGAGGACTCGTCCGGACGCGTCGACGGGCACTGGGGGGGGACGAATCAGTCAACCCACGGCACCCACGGGGGACAACACAGTCCCCAAATGGACCCCAGACCCTTGTGCTACTGGACTGTGCCCGGGTGGGCAAGAAGGCCCATTAGGCAACCTGACCGCGTCCCCGCTTCGGGAAGGTTCCTAGTAATCTACATAGATAGCACTGCGCAAAGACTAAAACAAAATACCCTCGTTCGTTTTGCAGGCAACGCGACCCACTGGCAGTTTATTTCGTAGACCGTACACGAACCACGCGAGTTTAATCGAGCAAACTAACAATATATTTAATATATAGGTTCAGTTTCGAGCATAGTTTTACATTACGAGCTAAAATAACCTAAAGGGCGCGCAGCGCGACAAAATGAAGGCGAGTTGAGGCGTGTTGCGAGTGCGTCGACAGATGCCACTTTACCTGCGGATGTGTTCGGCAATCCAGCTTACAAGTTTCCGCTGTCTACAAACAAGCAAGGTTAGTTTTAGTTCGACGCGATTTGAAGCCAGCGGTACGCCGTCACATTACACTAGCTACGGTCACACGGTGCCCAGTATGATAGCCGGTTGAACTCAACAACTCAATCAAACGTGAACTGCCATATTATTGTCTGCAACCGCGTCACAGAGCAGGCATATCGCCGAGTTTCTGCAGACAATTTAAAGAAGACGACACCCTTTGAATAAACCGCAACGTGGAGCAAGCGTACCCGAAAGTGCTTGGATTTGGAATACAACAAAGCCGCCATTGAATTGGCATATTACGTTAAAAATTCATTCGCAACTCGCAAGCACCTCAGCCCTTTTAAACAGCCCTGACAGGCGAGCAGCAGTCATTCTTTAATTCATAGATATGAACGGTCTAACTGGGGTGACTTTCAGATTAAAGTGGGTGGCTTTGGGATTAAATTGGCGACAACTTGAATTAGATCCATTGGCAGTTAGATTAAATTGATGACCACTTGGATTAAATTGGAGTATAAATGGGTTAAATTCAGGAACGCTCGCATTAAAGAAGCTCGCACTTGGATTATTAACTTTTACGTTGCCAGCTGCTCAGAAAGCTTGGAAAGCACATTAAAGTTCAAGGGAAACCCCGGTCAATATTTTCCAATTCGGGATTACAACTGTTTTCAGCTCAGTCAGTGACCCTAAATTACATGTTACAAGTTCTTTTTCGATAATGCGTGCAGTTTTATAATTATCACGGCTCAAAGTTTGATTTCGGGCGTCGGCGGCAAAACCAAAACTAACTCTTGAGAGGGATAGCAACACTGATCATCATCAGCTATACGGCCTCGACGTGACGTCACGGGGGTGTAGCAGTACGCGTCGCCCAGTGTTGCTCAACCAAAAGCTAACCTGCTTGTCGCCCGCTAAAGAGCAGCCGGTTACACCTTTAAAATCGTTTTCTGTGGAATACGCGGCTCCACTTTGACGCAATATTTTGGCTGTGATCCTATTTTGTGCCACTAAAGCAATACCTGTCATTTATTTTGGTTTTGTTTTTGACCGGATAAATGAATTTAGATTCGGATTTCACTAATAGCATATTGCCTAGTAGGCCAAAAGAAAGGCAGAAAGTCAAAAGCCTGATTTTCTATACGAAAATTTTCAAACACGGCAGACTATTTCATACTTCCTTCCCTTCGAAAGCTCTCTGCCTTTTCACTGCGATAAATCCGCGGAACCTAAAGCGCGTCACCAGGCCCAAACACGCATCACATGACACCGAACCTCAGTTATTCCCTTCACCCCTAAGCTGACAGTGCGGTAAAGGCTATGCGCTTGCCGGACCAATCAGCCGCCTCCCTTTCATTGCCTGACCTCATTCTCTGCGGGCGTGTATGCGGGAGGGAGCGTGACCACGTGGCAAAAGTGTGGCCGCCCCAAATGAGCACGTAGCTTCCACAGCACTGCCAGCTTAGTGCTGAACTAGGTGAGGAAAGCAACTTTTGTCCGAGTTTTGAGTGACGGGCTAATCTTCTAGGGGGAAAATGGCTGTATCAGGGTACACAAATGAGGGTCCGAGAAAGAGGGGATCCCTCCTTTCAGTCATCTTAAACTGTTTTGTACAATGCGCGATTTGTGAGTTCAGGAGGAAAGCTAAGAAGGAAAATCCCAAAAATCGTTTCATGACCCCTTTAATGTATAATTTGCACAATTCCCAAGTTCGGGAAATGTTAAGTTCCCCTGCATTTTACGGTAATCGTGGGAAATTTTATTTTGCCAGGATGTAGTAAATGCTACTTTAAGGGAACATAACCTCGGAAATCCAAATTTTCAGAAAAAAGTTTTTTTCAAATATTATATGTTTATGTTTAATAACTTCCAAAGAATGGTTTCAGAAAGTTTCATTTATAAACATGCAGGATTTATCTCGCAATAAATTATTTTCAACATGTCGGCAGCCCTCCGTGCCAGCAGGGAGCAAGTTTTGTGTGTTTCTTATTTAGTACTGCTTCATACTCGTTTAACATAGCCAGAACATCTCACCCTCATTGGAAACGCCATTTACTCCAGATTTAGCCCGTAGAAGCTTTCAAAGTTTAAAAGTATCAATGGCCAGGAGAACCCTTTACATACAAACAGAAGAAATCCTGAAAATTTGGTATGAGCAATCTTATTGGTTGAGACCCGAAACAGGGTTTACGATTAGTCCTGCCCGGTGACGTGATATTACGTCATCTTCAGTAACGCCCTTTCACAGCATCTTCCACTTCAGATCATATTCCTGCCTTGCTGCTCTTTCTTAGTATGATTTGCCTCTTTGTTCTTGCCAGTTTATCTGTCAAGGAATGTCTGCTACAAAAGTTAGCTTGCCTACAAACGACACAAACTGGTAGCTATTGCCAGGGGAACAACAAAGTCTCAAAGAAGAAGGTGCTAACAATGCCCCAGGTGAATTTAGCCTACCTCGGGCTCATAGAAAAAAAAGAAACCTGAAGTTGAAACTTCAAATGCATTTTTCTCAGTTCCACTTTTCGGCAGGAAATGTGGTATGAGTAAATGTATCATCTGACATTTTGAAAGTTTAAAGATTTCATTCAGTGGCGTCCTAAACTGAAATTTCCTGAGGAACAAGTTAAGGTACCCATACTCTGAAAAAGCTAACTTCTTCATGACAAAAACTAAATATTTTAAAACACAGGAATTTGTTAAAATCTTCTGCACTTTTTGGGTATTATTGTTTTTCTCTAGAATTGCATTTTCTACAATTCATTTTTACCTTAGCTTGCACTGTGGGTATTCTACTTCACATTTAAAGAAACATTTCGTGGATTGCAATTATTATATTTTTTAAGTACATTTCTTACTGAAGTCACTTTTTTCTGGAGCGTTTTAAGCATTATGTGCAGTAGAATTGGTCTACAAGACTGAAACCTTAGATGTCATCAATCCTAATTGGGTTCAATGCACCCTAAAAGTTTGAATCTATTTAAAGGAACGGTTCGAAAGTTGACCCTCCCAGGCCATGTCCCCCCTTAAAGGGATACTGACAGGGTATTTATGCTCGCCAAGGTTTTTATTTGTACATGACATATGACAGCCCAACTACCCAGAACACAATTTAAGGCTCGATATTAGTTTTCTTTATGCCCGAAAACCACCGATCGAAAACCATCCGTTTTGAGTCGTGATCACTCTCTTCTCCGTGGTCCCATGCAATTTTGTACGGTTTAGACACTGGGTCACCAAGGGCACACACTCAATACTAGAAATGGACAAAGAATTTTTTGTGGCTTCTAAAAAAACTGCAAATATGTTGATTGAAAAAAAAAAAAGTGATTGTCAGCTCTTTCACGTTGGAAGCTATTGACAACAGGCGCTTCTTTTGCAAATCTCCCGTTGTTCTGCTGCCGTACAAGAGCCGACATCGACCGGTGGATGAAGGAGTTCTTAAGGCGAGCGTAGCAGGGGCCATGAGACCTCTCTCGCCGTGTGCATGTTGGCGAGACATTCGCACCAAAATATTGCCCAACTTTGAGTTTGTGCATAGGTCGAAATCGTCTCGTCGGTCGAACACGCGCAACCTGCGGTGCCGAGGCCAATCGGCAGCAGAGATCGGGCACCCGGCATGCTAAACGAACCGGGGACGGACCGAGCGAGGCAAGAGGCCACCCACCCGTATGCCGGACAGCATGAGCGTGATGTAATGGAAATCCGGCAGCAGCATGACCCGCACGGTGGAGCCGTCCCGCACGTGCTCCACCACGGCTGGAATGGGCTTCCGGCCGTGTCGGTCCACGAAGGTCCGGGGGTCCTCGTTGTCCCGCAGGGTCCACTTGACGTCCCGCACGTGCGAGCTCGCGTCCGGGCCGTGCTTGCCCCGCCCGGCCGACTTCGCCACCTCCTGGAGGTCGCAGAGGCGCTGGTGGCTCCTGGAAACCGCACAATTTCGTTTCGTCTCATCTCTGAGGAATCTCTAGTTGCCGGCGAGGCGAAGACGACGAGGAGGACCCGTCCTGCCTCCAGCCCGAGCTTCATACCTTCAACGACGCTTAGGCGTATCGTGCCGTGCACGCAGCCAAAGCACGTTGGAAAGCACCAAGCACGTGCTGGAGGGACCCACAAAACACGCCCTGCCACTCTCATGTTGTCGGCAACTATAGCAATGCACTACACGAGGGGGAAAGCAAGAAAGGAGGACAAGTGGCGATCTACGGTCGAGCCCAACCGTGTCCGACTCGGGTATTTCGAATTATCGTCTATTTCAAACGATCGAGATACAGCTGAACCTCGATTTAACAGAGTCGTGTTTTGAGCCGAAGATTTCGTGAAATTGCGAATTTCGTTGGACTGAGGTTTTTGTTTTTTAGCTTTGCAATTCGTCTTCCAGGCTCCCAAATCCCTCCTATTGCCCCACATCTTGCAAGTAAGCGTTCGCAAATAAGATTCTACTACAAAATGTGGCAGTAACAGAAGAATGGAGTTCGTCGAACCTCATTTTGTACGGTTATGGGACCGCAGGGGAGTGAGCAGTCAGGAAAGCAACCACTGGCACTTACGGCAGCCATAATGCTTTCAACTTCAAATCGTTGAAAGTGAACTTGGCGAAATTTCATATGGCAACTGTCTTTTTCTTTTCGTCATCCGTCGCTTCAGCAATCAATTTCGCCTTGATGTCGAGTGACAGAACTTTCCTTTTGCGCAGTGCACCACTCATTGTTCCAAGAAGAACACGACCACCTCTAGCATAACACTCGAGCCACGAAACAATTTTTGTTGTTGCAGACGTGGAAGAGCTCTAGTTAGTTGGGCATAGGTGCATGTAATGGCGGACATTTTGTTTTTTCCACGAGAGGCAGAGGCTACAACGCTACTCATCATCATCATCACCACCATCGGTGTGTACTTTCTTCTATTTTGTGAAAAAGATAATGACCACACATTTCTATGGTTAGTTTTCCATAAGATGAATTGTTTCTGTTAAAAATGTTTTTTTTTCCAGGGAGGCCGTCGATATGTGTATGTGCGATTTGCAAAGACTTCGTTAAATCGAAACTGCGGTGCTAAAACCAGCCTTTTCGTCAAAACACAGTAACTGGGGCTGTGCCAAAACAGCCGAGAAAGGTTTGAAGACCAGTTTTCGTGCGTTTTCTGCCTGCTCGGTCGTCCAAAACATGGATAAGTGCCGTGAAAAGGGAAAACCAGACGCCGTCGGACCACGATAGCTCGTGGGGAAAGCACTCTGGGTTGAATTCGCGGATACTTGTGGTCGTCGGATTTATTTGTTTTGTTCCAACGTGAGCGCGGGAAAGCCGTCAAGTTGTCCGGACCACCCGCGGACCACGTCCAGTGCGTCTCCACGTTCAAGCGGCCGTCTTCACGTTCCAACCGTCGTCCGCTCTTTCAAACTCGTCTGCTTGTTCCAACGACAGCAGCCCGCAGACCAAACGTTGACCCTCAAAAGACTTCTAAATTTGAAGGTTGTTTGGGGTAACTAGGCTTGGTGCAAACAGTAGATACAAGGAGATGTTCATCATTGTTACCAGTGGCCATCACCGAGTTGTAATGCCCGATTCACTTAATTATGCTCGCGATGTTCTATAGCGACGTCAAGCATCACAGCTCACGGGGCGGGACATCCCAGGACATGGTCTATCCTCCGTTCACTAGGGATGGGCGAATATTCGGTTATTACGAATAGCCAGTCGAATTCTGTTTTATTCAACATTCCCTTCGAATCAAATTTAAGTATTCGACAATATCGAATTATTCGACAATATAGGATTGTTCGACCTTTCTAAATACAGTCAAACCCGACTATATCGAACCTGTTTACTTCGAATTATTCCTTATATCGAGAATTTTAGTGCACAGTAAGTAATGTTACAGCGATAATATATAGCAAAAGCTATGGTTGCATCGAACAAAAATAGCAGCCGCTACCGATATACCAAACTGCCAAGAGCGCCGTTTTGCTCTGCAAGCTGGCTTTCCCCCAACGCGAGCGGCCGCATTGGGGGAAAGCCAGCTTGCAGAGCACGCTGGCTTTTTTTTTCTTTCTTTCCGGGCGGCCGCGTCGACCAGAAGAGAAAATGTAGCTAGCGGAGAGAGGGTGCTCCGTGCTCCCTCTCCCCGCTCCGTCCGCACGCTCCCGGCCAGGTCGGTAGATAACAGGGAGGCGGTTGATTGGTCCGGTGGGCACGTAGCTCCCACCGTAGTCTCAGTTTAAGGGTGAACGGAGTGTTGCCCATTTCGGAGAGAGACTCTGTGTGGTCACAGCCCCATGCCGGAGATCCCACAAGGGACAGAAGCACTCTGAAGAAGGAAAATAGTGTCGACTCACTCCCCCTTGCCTCCTTGCCGAACATCCACCAGACCCTCGGACACGAGGGACTCTGCAACATTCTCGCCGCTCCTGTCTGCAAAATGAGGACGGCCAAGGTTGTTGTTCCAATGAGTGTGGTGCACTTTTTAAAGCAAACAATGCATTATAACAAAACCCTGGCCATTAAAACTTTGTCTGCCCCAGCAAACCCGTGGCAGGACATGTCAGTGAAACCGCATTGGTTACCACAGCAACATTAGCAAACCAATGTACATAAGCACTTACTCAGGATTAGAAGACACTCATCCCCCACCTGGGCAAGGGGGTCTAATTCTAGCCACTGCGAGATCTATTTTTAGGAGCGATCGAAGATAGTGTTCGCAGGCGTCTGCAGGTCGTCTGCTACGGAGCGCCATTCGTAGATGTAATTGAGAAAACGCCGTACATCGTCTGCTAACAAACCGTGAAAGAAGTTTGCCATTTGATACAAACTGACCGCTGCAATGAAGTGAGATTAGACGCGGGCCGAAATTTTATTGTCCGCTATCTAACGTTGAAAGCCATTGACAACCCATGCTTCGCTTACAAATCTCAAGTTGTTTCGCTGCAGTACACCATCTGACATCGATTGGTGGATGAAGCAGTACTAAGGACAAAAGAGGCCACAAGACCTCTCTCACATTTATATGTTGGTGAAACATCCTAATCAAAATATTGTCAGATTGTGAACTTGCACACGGGTCAAAAATGTCTCATTGGTTGATTATGCGCGAGCTGTGGCGCCACATCCAATCAGCAACCTAAAATGCTCTCGCAGTTACCCTAACCAAAATCAGACTCCAGGAATCGAACCCAAAACTTATCAGTCTGCAGCACCACCTAAGACGAGCTCACACTCTCCTAGCGCACGGTTATGTTGTAGAGGAGGGCAACCAAAAATTAATAAATAATACGCTTTAGTTCACCACCAAAAAACTCTTTATGGCATGGTAAAACCCGAGACATAGGACAAAAGGAGAAGAAAAAAGGGATTTTAATGGTAAAGGTTTCTGTCAATTTTTCAGCCACCAGTTTATTGCGAAATTTGGGGGTTAATAGGCACCACACAACACAGCTCTGTCACGCAACGAAAGTTGCATGACATATTTCTCTGAAAGTAAAGCCAGACTCGCAACTAAACTTCGAGCACAATCACCCCATTAACGCTTTTTAAGCATACCTCCCTGCGCTCGGGAAAGCGTCAATAGACGTAGGTGAATTTCAAACCCGACCGTGAGGCCTCGAGGCCTTCGTGCTCGCATTAAGATTTAGACAAGCGACTTATCGAAGGTAACAAAAATACACAAAGACAATACACCACGCATAATTTTTTTTTTTTTTTTACAGTGGAGTTGTAAAGGGCTAGGTTCCCCAGGATCGTGTCCGTGTATGGCGACTCAAAGCTACCTGGACAGCTACAGTCATCTATATGCGACGGCTGCAACCACACAACCAGTATGGTTTCCGCCGTCGCTCGTAGACGGCGACAACCACACAACCAGTATGGTTTCCGCCGTCGCTCGTAGACGGCGACAACCTTTCCAGCTATAATAGAAGAATGGATAGTTGGGCGTGTTGCTGGGCATTCATCGTAGGAGACAGCGCGAAAAACAGACGACGACGAAGAAGAAGCACACAGTGTACCGAGTACAGCTCCGCTGGTCTTCCTTCTTCACGAGAGTGAAAAGGCTGAACAATATTTTGTTTTGTTTTGTGAAACCCTAGGCTTACTGTAGAACGCCGAGCGAGCAGCCACATAAAAGTTGAAGTTTATCGCGAGAAAGAGGTGTTCCTTAGGGTCAGAAGCAGAAAAGCAGAAGGGGCACGTGGTGGGTAGGTCCTCGCTCTCTCCTCGTTTGACCCTACAAGACAGAACCAGTACGGGAGTCTGGCCGAATCCCTAACGTTTTAAGCGACAAAGCTTCGCCGCTCTACACCAGCGTGCAGCCGACGGTTAGCGCAGCGATCAAACGCTCGCTGCGTTGAGCGCTCCATATGTACCTCGCTTATATTTAGAATGTTTCAAAAGTGTGAGGTGGGCACACGTTGCGGCACGCTCAATATTTTACAGTAAACGCCATTTGTGCAAGAAAAAGACGCCCCAAAATCACGTTGAAAAGTCTAAGAAACATGTTTCTTTGCGACACGCTTCTCTAGGACGTCCCTCCGGGGGTCCCAAAGAAATGTCTTGCGGCGTCTCAACCATTCGAGGGAGAGAAGAGGAGGCTTACCCTTGCCCAGGTAAACAGTGCCGTAGTCCCGGTTGCTTACGCTGTACTCCACAAAGAAGATCACCTCCTTGCCCACCAGCTTCTTGCGCAGGAACTCCCGGGCCTCCCAGGCAAAGGGCTGCGGGAAACAAACATGCACTCGAGCCACTTTACCAAGTCAGCAACCTTCCCGCTAAATTTGGTGGTTTTCGGCACTGTCGAGCGGGATTTGCCCTTTTGCGGATGTTAATCGATCGCCCAGGTGATACCGGGCGATCGGTGCCCAGACGCGCCCCGCCCTTGCGTCACGCTTCTCCCTCCAGCTGTCCCGGTGGGACCTTTAGCTTTTGCCACCGCAACACAAACGTGCAACGACGGTGCATCGATTTTTTACCACTTTTCGTTCGTCTTCACTTCCGTCGATTAGTATTGCTTAGCAGCAATAGACAAATAGCTCTTTAGTCTCTTGGCATAGTCAGCTAGCCATGTACGCCTCTTTGCCAATGCCCAGTCGCGGTGCACGTAAACAGCAAATTTATTTATTGGTTCTCGTGGAAATGGAGCATGCTGGTTAAGTTACGGTGTTAGAGGAGAAGAACATAGAGGACATAAACCGGACAACACGTTCCTCCAAATGGCTGCATACATTTATTCTGACATCCGTCACCAGACGCAACAGTCACGGTGCAGAGTTGGAAGGGTTGAGGAGGGTAGGGAAGGAGGGGAGGATGGGGGTGGAGAGAGGGTGGAGAGAAAGATATGTTTTTGAGCCGGCGGCAAATTATCTCAGATAATTCGTTCGGCCTCAAATTTACCAGCGAGGCCCCCCCCCAGGACGGACTGCAGTTCTTGGATCTTCGCCGGCATCCCTCAGAGTCCGGTATTTGCTGATCTTTCCAGCAAAGATCATGCGAACCAGTGCTTCTCTTCCACAGTAACCATTCAAAAAACGTCAAAAGCAGAATCGTTCAAAACCTCCTGACCTCATCCCAATCGAAGTCATGCCCTCACTTGGTCTCGACAAGCTGCTCCCTACAGCTCATCCGCCTCATCAAGGCAGGCTACCCAAAAGACTTACTCGAGACCCAATTAAAACGCATTACGACAGCCCAGGCCACCAGCACACAACTTAAGGGCAGGCCACGCGCATTCCGCTTTGCGTGCATTCCATACGTGCACAACGTTTCCTACACAATCAAATCGTTAGCGCTCCGACATGACACGCAGATGTTCTTCTCATGTCGCCTCACTCTGCAGAAAGGTTAACAAACCGACTGCCCAAAGGCGTGCCCCAAGAAACACGCTACCAAGTTCGTTCCTTGTAGACAGGCTTAGCGTCTACTCGATCCCGCTCAAGTGTGGCTCGCGATACATTGGTCAGGCAGGCCGTTGCCTAGACGACCGCCTGAGGGAGAGCGCCAACGAGGTAAAACAGGCGGCTTCCAACCCATCCCTCCATAGCCTCCATCCAATAGCCCGGCACGTCGGCCCTTGCCCGTCCTGCAAACCAGAGTTTTCAGCCACTACAACTGTTGGAACACATAGGTCAAGATACAGCCGCAAGATTATTGAAGCCTTCGCCATGCGCCATTCCCCGCAAAACATTGGGTCCTCATTGCTTTGCCTCTCCGACGCCGACATGTTCCTTCTGCGCCTGGAAATGCGACTAACGTAGGCGCCTTTGAAGTACGGTCGCCCACCCTTTAATCCCTCCTCAAGGTTACTTCCCTTATTATGCCCCTTCCCTTTCTTCCCCTTCTTTTCCCTTCCCCCCCCCCCCCCCTTTGACTTCGGCGTGCGCCGCCGGCTCAAAAACATGTCTCTTTCTCTCCACCTCCATCCTCCCTCCCTATCCTCCTCAGCCCTTCCACCTCTGCACGGTGACTGTCGCATTGATGGATGTCAAACTAAATGTACGCTCCTGTTGGAGAAATGTGTCGTCCGTTTTTTGGTCCGCTATGTTATTCTCCTCTAACACCGTATTTACTGGTTTTAATACTGATTCCTCTCTACATTGCTGCTGTTTATTCGGGCCTTAGCACGCTGCCGGTGCCATCACCGCAAATGCTACATGAACCGCGTGCCATGACCCACAAAATCGGGCACGGCTCACATTTCTTTATTTCAAACCGCTTCCCAACGAACTGATAACCGCCGCACGAGGTTCTGGTTTCGTTCCAGTTTGGGTTCAATATATCAAATGTTTGATTTCGGGGTGTGTTTCGGTTCGGTCAAAAATAAGAGTTTCGTTACCGTTTTGGGTTTGGTTCGCTGCCCTGGCCTTGACAAGGCAAGAGGTGTCGGTTAACAGACAAATAAAGGAGGAGCCCGTGCGCCTACCTCGTCCTTGGTCTCACTGATGGTCTCGGTGGGACGCTTGGCCAGCTTGGGGGCCGTGATGTTGGACAGGTAGAGGGTCCGCACGGGCGGCGGACCACCCCGGGGCTGCCCACGGATCACTACCGTGTCCCCAGACAGGACCTGCAATGGAAAGCCAGAGCACCCACGATCAACGTGCTACCCAAGAGCAAACCCTCAGGTTTTAAGCGTTTTGCTCGTCAATGTGAAGCCATCCCCAAATCATTCGGGACGAAAGTGGCGTGTCCACTTTCCTCGGTTCATGCACTCGACAGTCTCGGATGACCCAGGCTCGCTCGTGGTATGGTTTGTGGCTTTGCCAACAGATGGCGGCACTGACATTTTTTAAATTTTGCTCCCATTTAATTTTTTTTATTTGTTGCGGTACCTCAGTTGCCAAATGGCGCTACAGAGGGGAGTGGGAACTAGACACAGTAAAAAGACATACATAGGAATTGAACACAGTTACGGGACACTTATGCAAAAATAATATTAGTGGCAGTTTTAAACAAATTTAACGATGGTATCACTATTATAGATGCAGGCAGGTGGTTGCACTCTGACGACATTCTAGGCATGAATGAGTCATAATAGGCCGAGGTCTGACAATGAGGAATGCCAACCTTGAACTGACGGTCGAGACGTGAAGAAATGAAAGATGGGTCGACGGGGAGTGTTTCTTTTAGGATAGGATTAGTACGATATATTTCATAGAAAAGACAGATGGGAGCATCCAGTGCACAATGGAAGAAGAGGTAAAGAGAGGTCAGCCTACACTGGTTGTACGACGATGGTTGGTAAATATAAAAAGAGTGATTTGTGGCTAGAGATTTGATTTTGTGACCGTTTGTGGCTAGAAATTTGATTTTGAAGGCAACAAATTTGATTTTGAAGGCAACAAATTTGATTTTGAAAGTTATCATAAAATACCGAGCGTCCGCCCATTCTACAACAAACGCCTACCCCTCAATTTCGTAACATTCGAAAAATATGCGAAGGACATTTCTTTGCATATTGTTGACTTAAGAAGCACCCACCCCCCCAGTTTTACATGATTAGCTCCATGATTAGCTCCAAATGTTTAGTGGGTGCTTGCCCGGGATTTTACAGTAGGCAAGGGAAGGCCTGAAATTCCCTAAAACTAGGAACGGTTAAGGCGTTAACGAAAGCGAAGTTGGAATTTGCATCACATTGCAGTCACCGTACTGCGTTGTCATTGACTAAATTTAGCGGAACGCCACTACCGGTCACATGGCTAGTGCCATTACTGGTCACATCGTCACGTGACCACATGACACGAATCAGGCCACGTAACGTCACGGTGTCGCGTGACGGATGTCAAGCTGCCAAGTGGCAGCCTGCCATCATGCAACATCTTCACGTGACATGGAGTCACGTTGCACCACGGCTTGACATTTAAATTCGGTAGATCTAATAATGTTATCGCGACACCACCACGTGGCGTCCCAGTGCCATGCTGGCCAGATTTGAGTATATGTTGCTTATGCATTCTGCACATGGGACGTTTGGCTGATAAACAAAAGGAGTGCCTTAATATTTTTCACTTTACAGAATATGGCTAGGGCTGGAGACTGCAAGGGGCAGGCCTCTGAAAAGAGTGACAGCAATGAAGAAGCAGCATGCGTGCATTTCAAAAAGCCCTTAAATTCGGTCTGTCCGCATTCACGAAGCGCTTCACACTTCTGGCAGAAATGCATCTGTACAGAATCGTTGGAAGACATTCTCCAACTGACATTTTGCGATCGGGAGGGATACACTCTTGAGACCCCCAGTCCTTAAATTGCCGATTCTGGATCTAGCCAGCTGACCATAACAAGAGCGTCTTCTCCTAGCTTAGTGTCGCCGGCTCCTAAAGTGAACGTCCGGCAATCTCACCCAAACATGATTTTGGTCTTCACATCCGCTGGTCATCATTTAAATCACTTGGAGCCCTCGGTTCCCAAATTGGAAAGCAAGCCTGCAACGGGATATGTAGGGATATGCGCCCTCCTGATGGCGCTACTTCCTCGACCAAAGAGCCAGCCCCCTTACCATCAAGAAGGAAGCATCAGAATTCACACTTTGAATCAGTGCCTCGGGTCATCCGCAGAAGAGGTCGTACTTCTGTCAATCGTAAAAAAGCCCGACTTATCACTTATCTTTTGTTTTCTTTTAGAGTAGAAAATTAAAGAAGTGGAGAAAAAAAGTAATTTTGGGGGTTCGTGTAACAAACCAAAAAAGGACATGAAACCTTTGACGAGTGTGTTGACATACTTATTAAGAACATAAAAGCAAAACACAAAAAGGGGACAAAGATGGACATGTCTTTGCTCCCTTTTTGTGATTTGCGGTCAGTTTCTTAATAAAGAGCATCTGGCACAAACTATTCTTCTATGCTCTGCAGATTCTAAAGGGATAATGAACCGAAATTTGAATTTAAAAAAAAAAACAATGCAGGAGCTGTAGGTGGGACGCTACAATCCCTACAACGCTACTCGTAAGGCGATATCTGGAATGGACGGACATATTTCTATAACATAAAGGTTGAGATTGAATGAGGCCGACGAGGCACGTGACGTCAAGATATCTTGTTTCCTCCTCTCTTTGCTTCGCCCCCTCAAGGCCGCGAGGCGGAGAAGACACCGAGGCCGTTCCCTCTCCTTCTCGAAGAAACATGACATAAACATATCTGTCAAATGCGCCCCCCTTTTTTTTTTTTTTTTTTTTTTTTTTTTAATAACGGTCATTTGTTTGAAATATTCCTGTATGAGTGATGTTTCTATGTTTGTAGCATTCCGTTGCACGCTTTTGCCGCCGTGTTCTGAGGAAACCAGATTTCGGTTCAGCATCCTTTTAAACATGAAGTCTTACATAGTGATGGGTTCTGCACAAGTTGAATCATGTCAAGAAGCAGCATAGATATTTCAAATGCCCCCTTGCACTTTCTCCTATCAATGCCTGATTGCTTGCAATAGATGGATATGTTTGAAACAGTGTTAGTTTGCCCCCTTTTTTACCCTGGTCTTGGGGTTTTTCTTAGTCATGTCCAACACATAACCAGGGGTGGAAGCAAGCTTCAGCCTTTTCGAGCAGGTCTGAGAGCAGCAAAGATGCCCCTTTGGAGCAGCTTTGGAGCAATAAAAGTTCAGCTTTGGAGCAGCTCAAGAGCAACAAAAATCGAGTTTCACAGCAGTTTAAGCAAATCTTGGAGCTGCTTGGTGCTATAAGCACAGATGTGTTTTCCGAAATACAAAAAGAAATATAAACAAAAAACAATCTCCATGTGACGTTCCAGAACCATTTCCAAACATGACTTTTCCTTACATATATTCCAGCCCATAGCAAGAAAGATATTTGAATGGCTGCCATTGAGAACTATCCTGGCGGTAGCGGGTTGGTTCCTCTCATGGATTTACGATAGTAGGCATAGGCAACTAAAGAAAAACAACTTAAGCCTCATGAAAACAAGCATTTTCACTGTTTAACAACCTAAGTCGCACGTTCCATAAACAAGTAGTTCCCTATCACTTTGCTATGCCTACACCGCAGAGTTAGCGCAATAGGTCTACAATCCAAATGCCATGTTGGAATAGTTAGCCATTTTACTATCAATCAAAACCATAAATGCAGATATAAGAAAATCATAAGTGCAAATTCAATGGCCCTTTCACCTCACAGTTATTTTTGTTTTCATTAAGGAAGACAAATTAATTTGAACAGTCTTACAAATGGTTTTTAAGATGCGATCTTGGGTAAGTTGTTTCCAAAAAATAATTTGTTACAGCTACTTCATAAAAAAAAAGAGAAGTTACCACTGTAGCAACAAAGAGTAACTATTGTACTTACATCCACAGTTACTTTAAAACATTAATGGCATTACTTTTCAGTTAATTTCTCCAACAAGAAAAAAAAAAGAGGAAAGAATGGAGAAAACATTTTCCTCCCCAAGTGAATTACATGGGTATGTGTTTTACTTCATATGGTGACTAAGCGACACCCTGAGCATGTATTGTTTCACGGTTGATGCGATTGAAAAGCGATTGTACAAAAAAAAAGAAAAAATGTCAACATAGATAGTGCTGCTTCGAGCTGTTAAAATGTAAGTGTCCACTCACAAAGTACAAGCGCATGTCTGAAGATAACTACAGTAATATCCCGAGAGATGGCCCACCCCTGAAAGATAACCCACCCCCCTTTTCGGCAGGACTTTTTATGTTTTTTTAAAAACACCGAAAGACAGCCCACTTTTAGTAATTGCTTGGCCCTGGCCAGTGGCTACTTCGGCAGAAATGGTGTTACTTACCTATGACAGGAGACAAGTGAACATTGCTGGCTAAGCACAGTAATCTTTGCTTTGTCGCCCCTAGTTGTGATGCCAAGTTTCACAGGACACAAATTCTAAAGCTAGCATTTTTCCAACTTTTTTTTTGATCGCACACCGACAGTTAGCCTGCTCCTAATTTTCACCCTAGTTGCTTTCTATTTTAAGCGGGCTATCTCTAGAGATATTACGGCAGGTTCTTTTTTTTCATCAACTCTACACATAACTATATACTCGGGTAGTGACTCACGAGAAACAACATATTCCCAAGTTGGTGCAAGGTGAATTGACACTCGAAGTGTCAGAACACACAATTTTGAAAGGGCAAAAATAGTTATGTTGCACTCGTTCAATGATATCTTATTCCTCAAGAAACTGAAATGTAACGACAAAACTAATGTCATTACTTCCATCATTAATAAAAAAAAAGTAATAGAACTAGAGTTACAATTTGCATACAAAAAAGTAACTCGTTGCAGTTAAAAGTTACTACTCAAGACCACAAAGATGACAAGCATTTATGGTGTCTCCCCGAAATCAGATTAATCCTTTCTGTTCTCCAAACACAATGTCTCGCAGAATAATTGCAATAAAACGGGACAATGCTTTCATTTAGAATGCGTAGTTGCCAATAGTAATCCATCTCCACACCGTAAACGGCAGCAAAGACAGTGCTCTCAATTCCAGGGATTAATAGGGCATAGCCCTTTTGGTAGAGCAACATAGGACATGACCAGAGCAGCCAGGTGGCGCAAGCTACCACCCCAATTCGAACTGCTCGGATGTATTCATCCACCGATTCCCATAACACATGGCTTTTTGTGCGCTATGAAACACGCTTAACCCTAATCGAAGAGCAATGGCTACCTTCAACTTGTCTATGATATAAATCAGGGATCTCAAACATGCTTGTGCGATTCTTTGGAGCAAGGGCCGCAAGCATCCCAAAGCTACAAGCTCCAGTTCCTATGCCTTGAGTGTGCTACATATGCCATAGATAGGTTTCACATTGTCGATTCATTTCTGCTCAAAAAGAAACTCTACTGATAGAACTTGTTAACACATCTTGAACTACTCTATTTAATTTTAGATTAAGTATTCGTCTAAATATTTTTCTCTTAACTCTTTCTTACGTAAGTCACCTGTACGACAATACCACTATTCTACTACAAAATGTTCAGTTGGGCAAGTTGGTTCATGACTGGATAGAAGCACCAAGGACAAGGGCAAAGTGAAGGAGGTAATGACAACATGGAGCGCACTTGCAACTAAATGTTTATTAGAAACACAGACTTAAATACTTCAATAACACCACGTCACTTCCAGTCACCCCACTCTATCTCCAGAAATAACATTTCCTTATCTAACAGTGCCACAGACGGCTCACTGATACACTTCTCGATGCTCCTCGTTTTGATGACAAAAACCTTCGTGAATTTCCCTAGCTGTTTTTTCGTTGTGTAGTCCCACGATGGTTCTGTTTGAAAACAAGGAAGTGCACGGGCATTGATCGCAATGCACAGCCAGATGCCCAGATGGCGTCTGCTTGACAGCTGCTGAGTGTTCTCTAGCATAGTCATTTACGCAGCGGAATGTTTGCCCCATGTATGAGCACACTACTACGCTACAAGGGTGAGCTTTTTGCTCAAGGCCACACCTCGGCTGCATGAACTCTCGCCCAGCAAGAGAAACTGCCAAAGATAAAGCTATGAGCTCAAGTTATTAAAAAATACATTTAACATATAAATTTTTTTTTTTGATGCTGCAATAAAAATTGTTGGGAAAGCAAAAACTGTTCCATAAAAAGATATATTTTTATCATGCCTGTTAAGGTGAGTGAATTGTGCGACCGGTGAGCGACAGTGTGATTGTTCATGCTCTATCAAAAAACGCCGACATGTTGACGTTTTAAATCTTGTTATTACATCAGCTATTAGCTCAAAGTCGTCACAGAAGCAAATCAAAGCTGAATATGTCACTGGAAAAACAGGGAGTTTACAAAAAGCTGAAAGCATGAGGTGCCTTCTCTAGAAAGTCTCCAAGGTGCCACTGAGAGCATCGGCTCTTTTGAAACGTCAAACACCATGTTTTTTTTGTTTTTTTGTACCCAAAATATCAATATACTGCCTTCATCACCCTCGCCCTACGTTGGCCCTCGACCTTTTGGGAGTATTATATTTGGAGCCCACACTCGAATGAGTTTCAAGACCCCCAGTGTAGATGAAAGTGTGCAGGTGCTGCAGCTCTTGCAAAGCTGTTTCCTGTGCACACCTGGTGTAAGCAAAAGTGTGCTTGTTTTGAAAGTGACACTAGGTCCTTTTATTTCGCTTCTATATAATGATGTCCTGAAACCTCTCACCCCTTGTGTGATGTCCACACGCGATCTCAAGGTTTAATGACTGATAGTTCACACAGAAAGAGTAAAAAACACAGAAAAGGATGAGAGACAGACAGTCACAGCTCTTTCAATGAGCAACGACACATTTACATGATGCCCATCATATAAATGTGTCGTTGCTCGTTGGAAGAACTCAGTGTCCCTCATCCATTTCTGTTTTTTTCTATTCTTTCTGTGTGAACTATAGTTTATACAATGCGCTTTCCTATGCGATGACATGCCTGCTACCATGATGATGACAAGTCATGTAACCGCACAAGCTTTTGACATAACTGCATAAATCGTGGCACATAATGCGCAGATCTGTCACTATATGGCCGTTTGGCCGAAACGCCTTTTATTTCAAATGCACTCGGCCAATCAACAGCTTGCAATCTGTCGGAGTGTTCCGTGATATCCTTATGGTAGATTTTCTTATATATAAACGCGCACGAGTTGTTGAAACAAAAAACGCTGGCCAGGTGGCACACTATGCCGCCCGGTTCGAAGCGTCCCGAGATATCCATCCATCTCTTCGGGCCATTCAAGGCACCGACCCCTCGCAGAGACCTCAAATTTACGCGCTATTCTCGGGCAAATATGAAGCCCCATCTTTTGTGTTCAATTCGAGCGCTACCACTGGGAAGCTGGAAATAGTTCCGCAACACGACGTCAGTGACCTAAGGCGAACTAGTTAATGATTGCGAGAACTAGCCGGGGCAGAAACCGAGAGTTTAAAAAGCCCATGTACGGCGTAGCTTTGTTTATTTGTATTTTTGTACATGCCAATTTTATTGCACGACGGAGCGGACTGTGGCGGCGAGTGATGCCCGTCAGAAAGTTCGTCGTCCCCCCTCGAGATACGCCCACGATTCAGATCTCGGCCGGAGCAAGCCTCTTCAGCCACGTTTTCACGGCAGACACCGGTAAACGACCGTGCAACCGCAGTCCACGCGACTAGCCGCGGAAGCCGCTCCGAAACCAGGTCAAACCAGCGACTAGCCGCGCACACTCGAATGAGCGCCGGTTTCTTCCGCGGAAGGCAGTCTCGGCACTCGGCGGGACAACCAGCGTGGCCACGACTCGTAGACCCGCCGAGACGCGAGTCCCAAAAGGGGGACAAACTACGCACGCTCTTTTTAAAGTTTCACGGAAACGATCATGTCCGACTCCCGACCGTTCCTCGCTTCGTGCTTGCACAAGCGCTCAACACGCTCGCGATACTCGCAGAATCGGTTTGAGCGATGCGTGTCATCGACGAGATGAGCTATCGCAGTACGTTGAACACGCGAGTGCTTCTCGCGTATCGAGTTTGGGTGAAGTGGTCGGCCGAGCTCCATATGGCCTAGCGCAGGTGCCGGCCTCCTGGTTCGGTCGGCCGCTTCACGATCGGAGTAGTTGGTATCGGAATAATGTTGCACGTACCTGCTTGACGATGCCTGCCATCGGCACCGCCGGGGGTGCTTGGTTTTGCGGTTGAGGAGCCGACATGCTTGGCGCATGCACGGGTACGTCACACGTGCGGGGGTAAGACGGTGGATGGAACGGGCGCGGCGCTCTGGTCCGGGGTCGGGGCTGTGGCCGGGGTTCGGGCTGCGGCGCGCACTGGGCGTGCTTTACCCAAGGGGCTCGATACTGGTCCGAAAATACAGGGTCCCGAAAGGACGAAAGTCGGGACAGCTTCAGCTGATGTGGCCGGTCCGGTTGAAAAGGATTTAGCCGAGCGACTCGAGCCGCGACCTCGCACGCGTGGCATGAAGTTATCAATGTCCTGACCAAAAATGAAGTCGTGTACCTTATTAATATATTAAAATAAATATTTAATAAAGTAAATATAAATAATTTTTTAAAGTTTAAGGCATACGAGAATAACGTTGTTTAACAGTACCGATAGATCAACTCGTCTCGGCCGTCCGGGCAGTCCGGGTTTGTTTACAAATGGCGACCGGTGAGTACTTTCAGCGACTTTTAAATTGCTTTGGGGTCATTTATCCTGTCCTGCAGGGTGTTACCCTCTTGTATTTGAAAGCCAGATTTTAATTCTGTGTTATGCACCTGAAAAATAGCTTGTCGCGTTCTGGTTTCGTTTCAGGTGCGGACGGCGAGGGAATTGTATCCTTGTAGGGGTGATCTTTAACACCGAATGCGGAGTTTATGGCTAAGGAGTTTGTTAAGGAGTTTATGGATTTGCTCGTTCTCTGGAATTTTGCTTGACACCTTGTCAGCTGTCGTCTCTGCCGTATCAGGTCCTCCTGGTGTTCGGCGGATGGTTTTACGTGGTGTTCGCGGCTGTGGAGCTCTTCCTTTTCCTTTTCAAAGGTATCGAAAACTTTCAGGGTACCTTCCAGCTCGCTACCGAGTACCGGTTACAAAGTACACGTAACAAAGAGCGTATCGGGCTACCGCTCTAATGTCGGGTACCGAACATTTCCTGAGAATCCTACAGCTCGTTACGAAGTACTCGCTACAGAGAGCGTATTGTATCGGGTAATTACCACCCTGTCAGGTAACGAAAACTACCAGGGAATCATCCAGCTCGTTACAAAGTATCCGTTACAAAGAGTGTGTCGAATTACCGCTCCCATGTCATTGGAGGTGCCAGCGTGCATGTCTTCAACTTTATTCAATGGGAGTTTTGTGGAAGCTCCTTTTTGCGCGGTTAATGTTGTGCAGACACGTACGTTTCTGGCCAACATAATCACGGTAAGATGGTATCGATATTTGCGGACTATTGTGTTGCTTTTTGCGTGTTTGTCAACAGCTCGGTGCAGGCTGTGTTTCAGGTCAACAGAAAATAAAGCTGTAGATAAAGATTTATTTTTGTGATGCCTGGGCTCTTATTCGAGGGCAGTTTCCCTACGGGGTTTTTAACATTTTTGATAATTTTTTTTATAAATCTTGATAAAACCGGTTTCAAGGTCACTCTCCAGAAGCCTGATCACAAGACACAAATCAGCGCAGAGAACGAGGTAATAAGTAACAAAGACAGTGGGTGTGCAGACGATATGGTGATAGTTAATCACACTGTGAAACACCCAAAACTGTGGCGAGGTATTTGGGTTGACTCTTCTCTCCTTTTAGCAAACAATTTCTGTCTTGGAGATAGTGCTTGTACTTTATAGGTCTGGTAAGTGCTGTACTGTCTGGAGTGATTTCTTTTTCTTGAGGGTTTGCAGTTTATGTGGAAAACATTGTACACGTCTCAAAGTCATATTACTTCTGTGAGAGATGGTTGTGCAGAATATGTAAAAGTGTCTGCCAATCTCAAGGCCTTGCTGCATTCGATTGTTGTGCTAACAAAGGCCGTGTCCGTGAAGAAGGTTGTTTGTATATAAGGGGAGAGAAAAATAAATCAGCTAGCTCAGTTTGAGACATTTCTCCCACTGGGTCTTTTTCTTTGACTTAGCAGGTTTTCGTCTATTCCTCACCGCGGTCTTGGGTGTTACACAATATGGTCAGAAATGGATTGCAGGGTCCCTCCAAGCCTTGTTAAGCTTTACCAACATGCCCACCTGTGATCACTGCATGGCTACGCAAGGCAGTCTCTCGAGCCTCTCTTTTCCACGTTGCATGAGCCGCAGACGACGTCTTTGTCCAAACATGGCGGACACTGTTTGCATTGTTGCAGGAATGAGCCTTCCCTACCCTAAGGGCAACATGGCATCAGAAGTGTGCCTGCTCACCTTCACCACTGTTGTAGAGAGCGTCAGGCTGTCCCTGGGTAAGCCATTGCTTCTCCCTCCTTGGTTGCTCTTGTCGGCATGCATGGACTTGCCGGCGAATTAGCGTGCATTATGGAGCAATTCGGAGGCCTCCAACGAGTTTTAAGCTGTTCCACTGCAATATATGACTAAGATGCGGAGGTCGGCATTTTAAGTTGAACTCGCTCACTCGCAACCAGCTCAAAATAAGAAATAGTCACTCCCTTATCCACAAACTCGTTACAGTCTCTCACTCACTTGCCAAATGCATAAACTCACCACATTGCGTGAGCTTACCAAACTTGTGAACTCACCAAACTTGTGAACTCACCAAACTCAGGGACTTGCCAATCTCATGAACTCAGCAAACATGTGAACTCACTGAACTTGTGCCCCTTACTCATCCTTGAACTTGTGAGACTTTGAGGCTTACGAACTTAGTTACAGCTTATGCCCGAGGGCAAGGGTGAGTCCATGAGCTAGTATTGCCGAGGTATACCGAGATGTAAGCGTGATTATGGTTGCCACCTTTCCTCGAAGAAAAAACCGGCCATGCCGGGGGGGGGGGGGGGGGGGTTGATCTGGTAAAAAGAAAAACACAGCGTTGGCAGTCTTCAATCTACATACCATTCAATTTATTTTGACATGAGCTTCCCAAAGTGAAACCAATTAATGTAGATATATGATACTACTGTAGCACATGTAAGTAGATGAATACACAACAATGAACCCAAAAGTAAAGCGGCAAAAACAAATCGCACACCTCTACACATCCTGTGCAACAGGGATAAGTAAGCACTCGAGCACTAAAGGAGCCGTTTCTATTCTGCACTGCTCCTGCCACTTGGGACACACGCAGGCTACAATTTTGCTACAGATGTCAGCCTTTCCCGGAGAGAGCCGGCACATGTTTCAGCATTATTTTGTGTTTGGGAAAAAACCTAAAAAAAGTGCCAGATAAAAAAAAAAAACAAAAAAAAAAACAGGACAGATTTTAAAAGCAATGAAGCAAATATTTTTTTTTTTGAACATCATGTGAACATATACGACTGAAAATAAAACGAGCAAAAAAGTGGGGAAGAAGCTGGAAACGACCATGGCCACCCGCCACGGGCGATAGCACCACGTGTGTCTGTTAGCACGCCGACAATCGTTAAAAGTCATAAAAAAAATTTTTTCTCCCTCCATTTTCCCCCCTCCCTCCGAAGGCACAGACAGCCATCGGAATGACAAGCAGTTCCGTGTAGTAGTCGTGTGTTCCCCGCACCCACGCAGGCTCTGGCTTTCTGCTTTCTCCCATTTCCCTCTCATTTCATTTATTTATTTATTTATGTTATTTATTTGAACGTAATATCAGTGGCTTACAGGACCAAGATAGGGGTGGAATAAAAGGATTAATCAATGATTATAATAGCAAACAATCACAGTCTGTGCCATACTGCACCGGTACGAGCACAAGAGAAACAGTAGCACAATACAAGTAGCAATAGTAAAATAATAGTAACACAGTAAACACCCTGAGGCACCACCCGCTTGATGCAGTCGTTTCTCAAGCCAGCTAGCTTGCATGCTTTCTCTAGTTGGGAGTCCTAAAAAAAAATGTTTGTGTGCTTTGTGTAAAGAAAAAAAAAATCTGTTGACAAGCACTCTTTGTGTTAAATTTTGTGGTAACAGTCTAAACTCCAAAATATATATATAAATGTCCCCCCCCCCCGAAAAAAAAAAATTGTTTAGATAGTTAAAAAAAACGCAAATGACAGCCGGTTTTAGATATAGAGCAGCAGCCTTTTGCAAAATTACTCAAGCATCGAGAATGCTGGCAACGTAGGTATGCATGCTGCATGGGCTCACCTCATCCGTATAAAAGATTCCAAGTAAGTGATTAAAATAAGGTATTTACGAACACATGTGCAGTTTTGCTTTAGAACAGCCACTGCTCCCAATGGCAGAATTTGCAGTGTGTAGCCACATCCAGATCGCTTCCGGGTGCTTGGGTGATCTAAAAAAAATCTTAGTTGCACGCTCCTGCTTCGTGTAAGGTTTAAACGCGCAACACGGATGGAGGGGAAGAAAACAAGCAACACAGGACATGCGAGTGTTGTATTATTGGATTAACATAAAAAGTCTGAGAGACTAGCAAACATTGTCTCAAAATGCGAACATAAATAGCTAACGCTATTTATGTTTGGGCAATCATCTAATCTATGGAGGAACCGATACAGAACCACCAAATCTCCCTCGCGTCGTATTGAATTTGGCACAGCAACTGCATCGTCGCGTCTGTGGCACCATCTCTCTATAAGTGCGGCGAGTGCTCGGTCGAAAGCAGACGATTACCGAGCGCTCGCCCTACCCGTCAAGAAGTACCGCCATGAGCACGACAGCGCTCGTTTTCTCCCCTCCGTCCTCATTCTTTGCGTTGTCTAAACCACATTGCGTATAACGAATACCAGCTAGCCCGGTTCCTGACTCGATCATGCGCAGGCAAGCGCGGCAACCTGACCGAGCGGAGCCCCTGCGTGCTGCTGTCCCTGCTGCTGACCGTGCCGGCCGCCCTCTCGTCCGTCTACTTCCTGCTCTGGCAGACGTATGTGCTGCGGCTGGACGTCGTCCTTGCGGCGGTCCAGCTGGGCTTCCAGGCGCTCCAGAGCCTCTTTGCCCTCTCCAGCGTCCTGGCCTTCGGAAAGTGAGGGCTGAGCCCGCTGCCGGGCGTCCTCCGACCGTGCCCGGACGAGTCTCCGGCCATCGCGTTTACCACGCCCTAGAAAGTGGTCCCTCGGTTCATGCCCGAGTACGTCAAAGAAGCGTCCCGGCCCCGCTCTGCCGCTCGTCGCTTTCCAGTTCCACATTCTGTGCAAGCTTTGGCCACCGGGGGTTGGGGCGGACGTGTGCACTTGGTCGTGCTTTTTGCCGGAACTGCGGCTTTTCCAACGTCATTTGCTGCCACTTGGGGAGGACCTTGAACGTGTCGGCAAGGTAGGACATGTCGGTCGGAGACACGTTCCAGCAGGCACGTAGCCAGGGGGGAGGCCCATGGGGCCCGGCACCCCCCCCCCCCCCCCGAAATCATCCATGTTGCATGGGTCCTCCTCTCCCCCCTTCCCCTCATACAGCATTTTGTCATGGGTGGGCCCCCCGAAACAAAATCCTGGCTATGTGCCTGTGTTCCAGGCACCACGTCCGACGGCCGAGGCTAGAGCCACTAAATAAGCCGGACCTAAAGAGTAACAATGTGCCATCTTCGTGACAAAAATGAGCCTCCTACGGGTCGGCCTTTCCGGAGGCGCAGTGAGGCACGGCAGGTGTATCACTGGGATGCGTGTTAACCAACCTGGTCCTTGCTGCATTGCGGTGACAGTCTGCAGATGGCTCGTTAAAAACTCTCAACCCACCCGTAGCCGCCACTTTGCGGCGCCACTGCGTTTCTATGAAAACAAAATCGCTAAAGGGAGGCTCGCCGCCATTTTCTCTGAATCGAGTTTCTACGACGGCATTTGAGAAATGGAGGTCTCTAAACAGACATTCGCTAAAATGAGCTTCAATAAAAAGGATACCTCTGGCTTAAGATTATTGCTGGCAGTTACGCGAGCGGCAGAAAACACTCTTCCGTCCTCCAGAGGCGTGAAATGAGTCCGAGCAAACTGACGTCGTCCAAGCTTCCAGACACTCTATCTAAAGCTCGGAAAAAGGCACTTTAGAATCCTAACTGTTGCCAGTTGTGCCCGCTCCACAGACAAGACCCTCCCACAAAGATCTCTACGATTGGTGCTTTCTTTTCCAGCATTCACTCTGCTAAAGTGGAAAGAGGTTTTGTGGGAGGAACTTATCCCGCTTTTTTGGCAGGACAGTCTTGATGCAACAAAATGGTAGCACTCGCGAGATAATTGGAGAACAGAGGGTGGATACCCTAAGCGTAGCAGTGGCTCTAGTTGAAACCAGCGTGGTTGGGTTTTTCAATCACCGGCATACGTCTCCTATCGCCCAGCTGCGTCGGAGACGGTGCAACGTAGGAAGCTTCTTCTTTCCAGTCACAGTTGCCGCACCTTGTCGGCACTTCTCAGCAAGCCAGGAGCACGAGGTCGGGGCTTTCTAAAGGATGCCTCAAATCGTGGAGCTTGCCGTAAAATGGGCACAAAAATCGGTGCCTGCATGTAGCAAGTTCGAACTATCGCCGAAAGTGTGCTTAGTGGATTTTGCCTTCCGAAACTCGAAGGCATAGCTCAGTTTCTGTGAAAAATCAAAATACCTTTGACATTTTCAATAGCTGACGTCGGCACGGGCGACTGAGTCGCCAGAGAGTCATCTATATTGTTTTTACGTGCTCCCGAACATCCGACGCGTCGGTAATTGTGCTCAATGGGGGCCCCAATCCTCATAACGGAACAAAGACATCGCCACCTGCTGCGATTGGTCAGAGCCGTGCCACTGACCAACTGCGGCAGGCGACAATGTCTTGGTCCCGCTATGTGTGTTAGAGCCCCAGGTAGACTAGCGATTAGTCAGAAACAACTTAAAGGGGCACTGAAGTCGATTTTGAGGTCGTCCTTTTGTGGTGAAAACTCAATCTAGATGTTCTAAGCATTCAAACAAACCCGACACCACAAGCGTGCATAGCTTATTTCCTCTTAAAAGCGTGTTCAAACACCGCGACACGCCCTTGGGAAGAATTTTTTTCCGAGTAAAGTGGTTGAGGAAGGGCGCTTGTCGGCAAGTTGCGAACGATGGGTTTGCCCGTGGAGAAAAAGAGTCATATCCGAATGTGTACCTATCACTCTCTTTGAAACGAGTTATAATAAAATCATTCAGGATCTGCACATATTGTAGGGCTTTCATTGGTCCACACAATGTAGTCCGTGAGAAAATAGAGTCCACATGTTTTTCTATTGCCCCGAGATGAATAGGCGGTTTTGTAATATAGGACTTGGCGTATGTGGGAACAAACACATTTTAAACAATATAAGATCAAAAACAACCTTTTTTAAATATGACTTCAGTGGCCCTTTAAATGCTGCAAAATTTTAGTCGCAAGCATTAATATCTGCTGACTGGGATAATTTGATTAAAAAGAAAGACACGTAGAGGCTAGCAAAAATAGTCTCGGAATGTGTTCATAAATAGCTAGTGCGAGTCGAGGGCAATCGTTTGATCCGTGAAGGAACAGATACAAACATGGTCATGCTCGTGGCACAATCTATCAATAGGTGCAACAAACACTGTCAAAAGCAGACGGTTACCGAGTGCTTGCTGCACTCGTCGGGAGGTGGCGCCACAAGCACGGGCAGCTGTAATCTATGTCGGTGGTCGGAAATGTCAAGGCTGTGAGTCAAAGTTTTTGCAGGAACAGAGCTACACTTTGAAACTTCATAAGGTAAAGTACATCACTAAAATGTCGCCTTGTTGAACGTTTCAGCTCCTTACACGGACGCACTAGTCTTTCTGGCTCTTCGACTCGTAACACCCTATGTACGCTAATACTACAGTGATGTCTCGTTGAGATGAACACCTTTGTCCCCCCAAAAAAGCGTCCATAAAGACGATATGAAAGTGCATGTATTCACCCAGTTCGTCCCCAAAATGCATGCATCTCGTTTGTGAGCCCACTTGGACATCTCTAGTCGGGGAAAGGAAAAGGCGTTCAAGAGGGCCACTGCTGTATACTTTTCGCAAGGAGCTTATTTATTTTGCTGCCAGGGTCGTTCTACATTCATCAACACGTGTTAAGTTAACGTTTATCTATTTGTGACCTCTTTGTCCATTTACTGGAGGCCATAATATGCGTGGGGAACAATAATCTCCAAACAGCCAGAGTTAGGTGTGCGTAAGAAGCACTATTCACACTAAATAACTGGTGCATTCTCAAGTTCAGAGTGAAAACTACGTTAGTACCAGCAGGAAATAGTCCCAGTGAGAGTAAAAAAAAAATACACAAGCTTGATCACGCTGAGAAAGACTGGTAAGCGCAGAATGTGCAACAGGCTTTCCAGGGAAGATGAGAAGAGTGTCCGAATGGCACTGCTTACGCAAGATGCCGCCAGATGGTGCTACGCAACTGAGCTTGCTCTTGCATGATCCTTACCACCGACCCTGGATAGCTTAGTTGGCAAAGGGGAGACTTCAAATCCATCTGGTGTAGTCTTCTGCGCCGATTTTTCGATGGAACCGGCCGTTGCAGCCAGACGTTGTAGAGCTCCATGGAAATCGGCTGATAAGACGCATTGCGCATTATTATAACCACTTAATCCTCTTTCGGGGTCAAAGGAGCAGGGATATCACGTTTCGGGTTGCATTTTGTTTTGCTCTGAATCACACGTATGGCATCACTAATTGCGAAACACAATGTAGAATATGTCGAGAGACCTTACATAATTTATTAGTCCTTTGTGCGACGGTGCTCATTGAATCGGTCGTGAATTGTTGCAACTGTTGCGGCACATCACATGTGTAGCCGAATCTGCCAGTTGACACACACAAAAGAAACAAGCACTTGCCTTTCACTACTGCTTTATTTCCGGTAAGTAGACTGAAAGGGTGTCAAGAATACACATGCTGCATCTGAACATTCCAGTGGCAAAATAGCATTTGATCTCTGTTCGAAGCAAACTGCATGGACCAGAAGCAAATGGCCTCCATCGGAGGTGTAGTTGGAAATTCCCGATCGGTGGTTCGCAGGTCCGTACAGCGAATCGCTGCTAGGCCTGTTTGCATGTCCCGGACAATTTAGAAGTTAATTTGAAAGATACAGGAAGAGGGGTGGATTAAAGATTGTGACCACTCTATCCACACCACTGGTCTCCGCTTCCGAGCCTAATCTAAGGTTTTTACGCCCGACATGAGCATAATCTCTTGGAGAGAAAATGGTTGTGGCATCCAGTCAACACTAGTCGGTGTTTCTACATGATTGTGATTGAAACGCAAATACTACATGGTGAACAGCTAGCATTTTCCTTCTCTCAATGTGAAACCAAATGCGCACGGCACAATACAGACAAATGTATGCCATGTCCCGTCCCTTCGTATTTAAGCGCGTTGAAAATTCGACGGTCGTTCCGTTCGATACTCCTCTGCAACAGTCTACTTTCGCGCAAGTGGGGATCAATAAAGTGATATTTTCTATACAGGTTTCGTTGATTTTTTGCATTTTCTGATGTGCAGTTGTTACAGCTTTCACGGTATTAAAACAAAAAAATGATGAATCTGCATTCAAACAGTCACAATATACCTTACGCGAAATTGCTCGATAATCTGACAACAGTAAGAGCGTTGCCATTTTAGTATTGGCAAGCGTCGTCGCTACCGTCCTGGAGACAACCTTATCGAAGCGGCGGAGCAAATCCTATGTTTTCGCCGTGGAAGCCTACACATTACTGGTTGTCGGATCGCGGAGCAATTTCACATAAGGTCTGTTGGCTAGCACGCACGCTTATGTTCGGATCGTCCCGAAGCAAGAATGCTTCGTGGATCTGCCACAAATAAATAAAACGCACCAACAACATTCTTCCTCACAAAATATGGCAGACAAGCAACATTCCCATAATACTCGACGACAGTCTCAGTCTTCGACTCTGACCTGCAACGTATTTGAGGTCCATCCTGGTACTTTTCCTTCTGTACGAGCCAAAGAAAACAAACACTTTTGGCAAAGTTAACAAAACGCAGACACATTATGAACATCCGGCAGTTTACCGATGGTGGCACGTCGCGGGTAGTTTTTCTCCGCAATGTATCTCGCGAGCGCAATCACGTCTCCAAACAAAGCAACAAGTTACGGTACCGCGAAGCTTGCTACGTCTATGGCTATGCGGCGGCTCTAGACGACGGCCATTCCAAAAGCGGCCGTCTCGCCAGTACGTACGAGACGAAGGCGATCCCCTCTACAAACTCGAGTACGCTTCGGGAAAGAAAAAAAATGGAATACAAAGGCGTGGAACAGGAAAGGAAAGATCGAAGAGTATGCTCCGTTTGAAACGCTTGCCTTCACTCCTCAAATGTAATCTCAAGACTGGACATTTTTTTTCTTCTTATCGCGGAAAGACTCATTGATTTTGTTTTCCTCTCGCACCCAATCGCAAACGGTTCCTTCTTTCTGCTACATTACTAGCTAAGAATCACCCGAACGTGAAGCCGATCGTAAAAGTGCGCAATGTTGAGCATAGTGGCGATCTCGATTGAGACATGGGAATGAAAGTATGTATGTTGCAAGTTTACTTGGTTCCTGCTAGCGGCACGCGGTTCCACTGACAAAAACACAACTTTTGACTGCAATATGCAATGGCGTGTTCGCACTCGAAATTGATTTGACGTTCGCTTTATACGGAGGAAGCCAACTTTAACGGTGTTTCTGAGTTGATTAGGCGCCGTTTTTCAATGTTTAGTGAGGGTCCTTAGCACAGGTGTAAAACACCTCAAATCTTGAGCATAGGCTTCAGATTTATAAATAAAGCACAAAAAAAAACTCGAGAAGCTACAATTTCCTAGAAGCAGCAAAAAGCGACATATCTTCTGCTCCCGCCCGTCTCAAGGGACAAATGGGAAGGCGGCTGCAGCGAGCTGTGGTTTGAGTGCAACTTCTGATTGCTACACTAATGCCACCACTCTGCTATATACAGAATCCCAACCATGCATTCTCTATGCACCAGTGATGTAGCCAGGAACGGGGGGGGGGGGGGGGGGAAGCTTATAAAACCTCAACTTCCCCCCCCCTCCCCCCCCCCCCCCCCAAAAAAAAAAGATCCCTGGCTACGCTACTGTTGTGCACGCTCCTTGAAGTAGACAAACAATGCAACAGTGGTGCTGCCTGCCTCTTCATATTCCGGTCACTTCTGTTTTGAAATACATATATGGAAACTAAGAACGCTAGGGTTTGTTAAAGAGGTAAAGTCGGAATGCGGTAGCTGGTGTCATTTTTAAGATCACCGAATTACTCCGTGCAAGAACCATCTGTTATCACTCCCTAGGGCTGAAGTGAACACTTTGTTATAACTTGAATGCAGCATTTCTAGGCTCAGATTTGGACCCAATGTAAGTGACAGTTCGAACAAACTTACAGACTATTGAGCTTGTTTATTAAGAATATAGCTGCGACTTTTGCGGGCATCCTATGAAACAGTTTATTCGATCCAACTGCATCGCTTTAGCCAGTTCTCATATCTTTACTGTTTTGTAGTTGTTCTCGATAGAACACACGTGACCAAAATGTCAAGTGGCAGGAGGAACTCCTGCCACTGCATCTTTTGTCTGCTACAATTTGCGTACATTGAAAATACACAGTGGGGTTCTACTTATCACATGCAACTGCATCGTATAAACATCGAAATAAGCACTAATAATACTCCAAAAAAATTTCCAAATACATAATTATAGTCGTACCTGGCTACAATCAGGTTATATTGGTGTTCTGAGTGGGCACTTAAGATCTGACTACAAGTTCACAGAATGCACTTCTTGACTACCTCAATGTCACATGCACTGTGTGCACCGCTGCACTAGACGTAAAGCCAGACCTGATTGTTCAGTCAGTATAATCATCGGAAGCGTTACAAGCACACTTCCACTCGCTTAAAAACGAATGTTGGGACTACTTTGCACATTTAAGGATGTTCTGAGTGTCAGGATGCCGTTTAGCAGCTTGCATTGTCCTTGAGCCCCTCCTTTGCATTAGCCTTCATTAGCAAACCAATTTCGTATGCCTTTGCATACAAGGCTAGTTCACGACCATCCCATGTTGAATGACATTCAGCACACGCGAGTTGCATCGTACATTTAATCATTTCCCGTAAGGTAATTTCCATCCAGGGGTACTCTAAAAATAATAAAATTAAACCTAACTGTGGCAGCACTAGCTAAGTTGCACATTAATTCCTAGGAATTGTGAGCTGCCACTTTAAAATCGTGGTCTCCCTGTGACATGAAATCCCATTCTGACACAGTGTCGCGCACCCCGAAGTTCAGGCCTTTGGCCTAAACGTGTTGCCCTTTAAAATAATTAGCCAAGCAGATAAAAGCAAATGTAGTATAGGGTTAAAAACTCGATAGAACTGTAAAAGCTTGGACACTATGCCAAGTGGTAAGCTGCACTTATGTTAGTGTGACTAGCAAAAGGTATGACAGTGAAGAAAAAGGTGGCCCATCAAATTTCTTTCTGGGTGCATGGTCGCAAGAAAAAAAAAAACAATGGTCACACATCACTGTGTGTCTAGTTTATGAAGTAGTGATGTGGAGAGAAACATAGTTGTGTAGTAAAAGACAGTGGCAACAGAACAGTGTATACCAGGCACAATGCCCCGGCATACAAAATGGTTCTTGACCGAAATAAACTATCAGATTCGCAAGAGTTAAAGCTGCTTTTGATACTTGTGTGTCATCCCTCATCCTCCCATCTCATGGGGCTAAGCTCAATAATTAAGCTAAAGGAGACGATCAGCTGCGGTACTCAACTGTAGACTTTCTAGTTTTGCGCATTCTTCCTGGTTATCGAAAAGCTCAGAGGCATTCCAATTGCACCCAATGTTCCAATGCATTACGTGATAGGAAGACGGAAATCCGTAGATCACATCCCGTTGAGCGCATCTCTTTAAAAGCGATTGAGACAAAAACAAAGCTCACGTTGCAAATTAACTACAGCCGTAAGTTAGTAGTAAAAAAAATAAAAGTGACAAATATGAGAGAAAAGAGCAATAGTCAGTTCATTCTTAACCCTTTGCACGAGGCTGCATTTCTGTAGCCTGGCAACACCTATGCTTCATGTTTCTTATATTCCTGTATAGGTACCCAGCATTATTTTTTCTATTCACTTCAGCAGTCTACGACGGGCTGACACACAAAGCGGAGCTATATGTAACTTCAACGTTGTATGTCAACGCATGTTTTGTCCTTTAAATGGGCCTCTCAACCAAACACTGCGTTAACTTTTGCATTTGGCCAGAGCCTCGTCGAGGCTTGCCGAGGGAATTTCGCAAATTGAAAAATTAATAAATTGCAAAATTAACAGCAACTATGAAGTAGTTGATTTTGCAACGTACACTGTGCACATTCCTTTCTACGGTGAGCGATCATGCTTGCAGGGGTCAGGATTAGAATATTTTCTGCAGGAAAACTGCTCGGCAACATTGCATTTTCCGATAGGTAACCAACAGAATTCAAATATAATAGAAAAACAATTAAAAACAAAAATTCTTTTAAAGAATTTTAAATTTTAAATTGATCTGCGAACCTGTTAGTAATCACCCAAGTATGGAATCTTCGATGGGGAAAAAAAAAAGGAAACCACTTTTGGTCAGGTAGTTGCAACAAAGAAAACTAACATCACAATGTGGTAATTATGTCGACATAACTGGCCTGCCTCGTCAAAACTGTTTGTGACTATAGCTGCAATTACTTCTCTACCAACGCCTTGTAGTTCTTTTCCAGGCACGCAGAAATTGTTTCGGATCATTCGGAAGTGTTGTTTGGACTAGGGTAGTTGCTGCAGCAAACAGTGGCAGCACGTCGCTGCCTTTGCAACGTTCTCAAATACAGTTGAACCTCGATTTAACGAAATTCGATTTTACAAATTTCTTGATTTAACGAACAAATTCGGGTCCCCCGCACAGCCTATGCCCAACGTATTTCTTTCTGGATTTTACGAAGTTTCCAATTTAATGAAATAATTAGCAGGTCCCGGTGACTTTGTTAGATCGAGGTTCAACTCTATTAGCGGCCAAAAATTCACAACCTGCTGCATTCCTAAAGTTGAAAACATTCTCAACGGCATTACAGGAACAAGCCCCGAGCAAATTTCACGTCATCCAACGACCCAAAACGCTGGAAGATTTGCACAGGGGTGTAGAAACGTGATCGCGGAAACCCGAAATAAATCTAGGCAGGAATTGTGCACGTTCTGCGAAGGAACCTTTGGCACCGACACCAAAATAGGAGCTCAGAAACCACGCCAACGAAAAAATAAAAGTTGCGAGTCGTGGCACAGGACGCCGTACACACTGGCGTCAAGCCTCGACGTGCAAGCTCAGAGTGCAGGGCATGCAGCAGGAAACAAAGAAAGGACTGTAGTCAACGAGCACATACAGCTCTGTACATGTTCCAACCCAACTGTCTGTTATTAGTCGGAGTACAATGCAGCAGCCCCGACACCACTCTCGTGGCACGTGCCGTGCACGCTGCCAAACAAGGCACAGAAACAACTACAGCTGCTGGCGGAAAGGGCTCTCGGAAAACACCCTGCAAACAAACGGAACCGATCCGCGAGTACACGGCCAGCTCAAAACGGGCGTGAATGGGTATGGCTACTGCCACCGGGCGAGTTGCGCTCGAAAGCAACAATGCTCGAGCCATCTCAATGCTCAAAATCATTGCTAGCTGCTGTCCGAAGCTCCGTGCAAAATCGAAGGAAACGCCGTTTCATCCTCCAGAAATGTTAGAACAGTCCGCGAAAGAGCAGAACGACGCAATATCTAAAGCCGGGGAAGTCACACCTTAAAATCGTTAACGATCGCTACTGATTGCGGTTGCTCCGTACCGAGCCCAGAAAATGCACTGCCTGCGAGATTAGGGAGTGCCAATACTCCGAATGCAGCTTATTCAGCGGCGATCCCACCCTAGCACCGGAGTTGCTAAACAATGCGTTCCCCTCACAGATGCGAGAGGCTTCTAACAACCAAGAAACGGGAACCTGACCTCGTGCGAAGTTAGATCTCGCTAAGGAGGCGGCTTGGAGGTTTAAACGCAACGTTCCGAGGATAAAACAATAAGAGTTCGCTTTGTGCCTAGCTCTACGTCTCGAGGCTTCTTCGAAGCGGAATCTGCGATCCAAGGTCGGCAAAAAAAAAAAAAAAGAAGATACTCAAGATATAGGTATGCACTCGCGCGCACAATGCCCGGAGCGTACGCCGGTTAAAATTTGACGGCAGTGATGCCTACGTCAGTTGTGATGGAACTAGAATTATGATGGGGAGTTTGCAAGTGCCATCTCGAGGCTCGTGCAGAAAACAAACTTCCATCATAGTCTTCCCCATCCCCTTAATCTCGTAAATCTGAGGGATACAGTGCATCAAAGAGTGCAAAGGCAGTTGATCAAAATGGTACGACAGCGCTGCACAAATTTCGTGAGATGCAGTTTCACTTTCGGTAGGCCAGCCGTGCTCGTTACAGCATCCACCATTTTCCCCGTTTGTTTACGCAGAGACGATTGGTTCCTGGCGTCGCTTTCGGTGTTGATGAAACCAAGAAGCACGACGAGTGGCTCCGTCCATGGCAAAACTTGGCGAGTAAGACCGAAAAGATATTGGGGCCACGTAAACCTAAGCTTACTTTGTCCGTTTCTCATTTGGAGTTGCCTCAGCGGCATCTACCGGGGCCAGCTTGGCTGCAGACAGGTCGACTTCTCGGTGTCACCAACTACTCCGTCAACCATGGTCCATCGAAGTAAAAACGAAAGGGGTAAAGCTTTCCGACACGGATCCCGGCGCGGTTTCGAGCCAGAAGTAGGCCATGCCGAATTGCCCCGTAATTGGTATTCACCAGGTGCCACGATCAACTTCCCCAAAAAGGAGGGGTGCCGACAATAAGTTTTGTTCTCTCGGGTCGACAAGAAGGGGCTTGTTCCGAGGATGGGTCGCAATCTGTGCGCGCAACTATGGCCGTTGGCGAATGCCACCCGTCAAATCAAATACAACCGCAGCAATTTTTGCAACGCGTCGCCCGTTGTGGCGTAAAAAAAAAAAAAAGACGGGGTGTTTTCCGAGCTTTAACAGAATGGGAGGGTTTGATCCAAAAGCCAAGCCAGCTTCCTCTTTGGTACTTAGGAGTATTGTTTCAACTTTTCAAAAGCAATTGGGCATTTCCTTCCCTCAGCACAGTGCCCGGACGCCACAAAATGAGCTACGCCTCGGGTGACGGCACTCGGCCATCTTGGCATTGCAAGTCGTTGCCGTTGGTCAACTGAAATCGCAGGAAACAGTTCTGCGTCCTCCAGAAACGTTAAAACAGCCCGCGACGAAGTAAAACAAAGTTGCCCTAACTGCCCGACACCATATGAAAGGCTGGGAAAGCCGAATGTCTTAACCTAAACAATCGACCGTTGCTCTCTCTCGGCACTATGGTTTGTGGCGGGTTAAGAAAGGCAAAACGAGTCCACAAAGCTCTCTACGATTGGTGGTTCCCTGCTCTCCAGCATTCCCTCTACCGAAGCAGAAAGAGCAGAGAACTTTGTGAAAGGAGCTTGTCCCGCTCTCCCCAACCTCCGACAGACAACGAGCATCAAAGTGGTGGAACCTGCCAGAAAATGGAGAGTGCCGACGCCCCGAAAGCAGATCATTTCGTGGCCCCAGGCGGGATGCGACGCCCAGGAAGCCGTTCGAAGACGCGTTCCTGGCACCGTCCACTTCGAGAGAAGCCCAGAGAAATGGCTCTAAAAATAGATTTGCCTCCCGTCGCCCTTGTTTCGAGAGCGACGCGGGGACGGGTCTGGGAGCGACTTTGAGTGCCTTGGAGCGGAAGCGGAAGACGAGCCCCGCCGGCGTCTGCTCTCCCGCTCGGGCGGGAGGAGGGCGAAGGCCGTGCGAGGACTCTACTTTGCGGCCGGCCCGGTGGAGAGCGGCACTCCGTCCAGCAGGGCGCTGTTCATCTCCCGCAGCTCCCTGTTCTCCGCCGTCACCTCGCTCAGCTCCTGCGGCAATGCGGGGCCAGAATGTACTCGGCAATGCAACGACAAAGCTGTCCAATCCGACGTGCGAACTGTCGGAGAGACGGCTGCTCCGACTCGCCGCACACAACAGTTGGAGACGCGCGCTTCCGAGGCGTCGTTCCGTTCAGCTCCCACCCAGTTTCGGGTATCTCTCTACCGGATGGATGGATGGATGCTAATGGCTGTGTTTATAACGGGTGGTAGCTCGCGCCACCTAGGCTAGGAACCTAAAATATCCCCCCCGCCCTTCGTGGCTTTTCCGACTTCAAAACAAATGCAATATTTTAATTATATTTCATTAGAGTGGGCCTCTGTCTGAAGATTTTACGAGGTTACTTTTTTTTGCTCGAATTCGCTTAATCGGGATGGACTGCGGTGGACCTTAGGAGCCGTCTAAGTGAAGCGAGCAACGCGTACAAATCGCGTGACTACGCACCCCGCGCATTGCTGCGTCTCTCCCGAAGTTCACGTGACACTCACGCGGCACTTGAATGGCTCGAAAGGTCCGCTGCAGGCCATCGTAAGGCGACAAGGAGTATGCTATTCGGGTGTCAATCGGTCCCAGAAGGCCGGCGTGCTATGGACGTGCAAAATCAGCAACTCGTTTTGTGCGTGCGGAAAAACTCCGTGGCGTCCGCTGCCTTCGCTTCACAACAACGACTTGCGTGACAGACCCCTTACATCCGCTTCCCCGGTCCTCCTCTCCCAATCGGGCCTATCTTTACGTGACAACACGACGGTTGCGCCATCCATGCTGCCATTGGGTGCGGCCAGGGATGGGCAGTATTTCAAATACAAGTATTTTAAATATGTATTTCAAATACTTTGTGTATTTTGCATTCGTATTCAATTACAAATTGGGTAATGTATTTGACGTATGTATTTAAATACTAAAATGTGGGTATTTCAAATACAATTGTAATTAAATACAATTTTGTGGGCGAAAATACATCCCTCAAATTTATTGTCACTGTCCAGAGCAGGAAGAAAACTACGTTCTGCACCGAATGCAGTGTCTCTCAATCAAGCACAAGCGTTTAGTGACTTTGTGATTACGGTGCTAGTCCAGGGCAAGAATAGTGTCGAAATCGACGTTCACAGGCAGCCTGGCTAAATAAGGGCCTGTGACAACTTGCGATACTTTCCAGCCCGATTTCCATTCATATTTATGCCTGGAACATTCTAAATGCGCGGGTCGTCCAGATTTTCGTAACTGGTGCGAGTTGCAACAATAAAGAAATTCTCTAGCTAGTGCTGCGCGTCTTGGTCGTCTCGGTTCTTTGTTGGTCTATACCAAAATGTAATCGACAAAAAAAGCTGCTTGAAGCTCTGTACTTTTTTCACCTGTCACGTCCAAGCTGACTACATAATGTTTTTTGTGATTATATTTCTATTACGTTTCTAGAGCCTCGCACACTAACTCCCGAGTGTGCAATGCAAAATTAAAATGAGATACCCAGAAACCCGTTGCAGGTGCCCTGAAGTCGCTGACGCAAAGTTTGAGGAATGTATTTGGGAAAGTATTTGGAGGAGACCAAATACATTTGGTTGTATTTGTATCTTGTACTTAAATGCTTTTTTGAAAATGTAATTTGATTTGTAATTAAATACATTTTTGACGAAGTATTTTGTATTTGTATTTCGATACATATTTGCATGTATTTTGCCCATCCCTGGGTGCGGCCCTCCGGCAGTCGGACGGTGGTGCGGGGAACATCTAGCAAGTTGGTTGCATGCCGGAGCTGGGCTGATCCCCGTCCGACGCTCCAGAGCGGCCAAACCTGCCTCGTTCCACGGTCGTTCCCAATGTTGGCATGTCGGATCGGACAGTCTTGACGCGCACGTGTTTCATGCTTTACAGTGAAATGGTAAGGGTTCCACGCTTTGGGTTTTTTTTTTCAAAAGATTCCGCGTTTTTCCTTGATCAACTTCTGATGTCAGACGAAAAGTCTCGATTTATTGGAGCATACGTTAAAAAAAATTAGGTGACGGGCACAAGATTGCTCAACGTCTAGGGAGGTGGTTTTCAAATGGGGGCCCGCAAAGGCATTCTAGGGTTTTGCAAAGCCCTGCCTCGTCAGTGAAGCCCGGCAATAAAAAAAGTCATTTTTTCAGATTGAGCAGAAACATTCCAATTTTCGGGTGAGTTTTCTCGTGTGTATGTCAATTAGAAAAGTCTACTTCACACTGGCCCTTAGTTATATCCATTTATTAAATGATCCTGATTAAGCTATAGCTTTCCCTTCCCCTCATCAGAATCGGGGTCCTCCATCATCTTCACCAATCTGCAAGGGATCCGCGCAAGGGAACATATGCGTGACCGGAATATTACTAAGAAAACATGCTCGTAATGATAAGGAAAAACAAAGATAACGTGCGCGATTTTCCCAAGAAGCCTCGAGGACATTTCCTTGGGGGCTGTGTTCTGGGCCCCCAAAAGAAAGCTGTAGACAAACACCTCTCCATGTGAAGCTTGGTTTTTTTTTCTTCAAGAATTCGGGATTTTTAGGTTTTCCTCTATATGAAAAATTAGAGCTTGTGGGTTAATATTCGGGGTTCGTAGGTATTTATAGAAAACAAGGAACCCTACTCGTAACAAATAGTTAGAAGGTGGGAAAACAGCTTGAACAAAAAACACCTGCACATAGAAAGGACATCCACATAACTGATTATCAACCATTCTTTACTATATCCTTTATGTTCAGCCTCTCGACGCCTACATGTTCATGAGACTAAATGATTTGTTCAACATTTGAAAAATTCAAGTGTTTTTCACTTAAGCTGTGTAAGCGTTGTCTGTTCAATGCCTAAGTGTTTTTTGTTCAAGCTGTTTTCCCACCTTCTGTGAACATGTACCAACCAGCTCAATCGGCACCAATAATACAGTTAAAACCAATGTTGTTAGACCAACTCGGTTGTGGAGCCCCAGTCTCGACGGGGGCTCCTTTGTGTGTCGCCTGCAAGAGGGCGCACGCTCTGCATGGAGACACATATCTTCTTCATAGGTTACTTCCTTCATGCTTTAGGGCAGGGGTTGTCAAACTTTTTTTTATCTCATTGGCTCGAGTTAAGGAAGAAAAATTGTTCTCTTAACCCTTTGACGGCCGTTGCCGTACGGTGGTGACTACACATTTGAAAGTGCCCGCTTCAACGCAAAACTTTGCACACTGCGGGAGGTGTTGCTGATTGCTATGTCTTTAGCAAAATATAAACGTTATGTTCGCACGGCGTTTTGCTTCGTGGAGCTATTCATAGTTACCAAATTCAATGCACCGTTCACGTGATGCTCACTTCGCATATTGGTCTCTTTGGAGGTAGCGCCAGTGAAAGCACCAGCTCTTCTTCAGACTTTTAAGGCTTTTCGGAATTTAATTTGGAGGAAGAGAGCTTATCATTCGACGGAGATCTCTGTAAAGTACCTTCGGTTAGGAATCTGAAGCCACTGGAACGTCACCGGAGCGGACGCGCCAAAATGAAACTTAAAGGGGCGGTGCAACGATTTTATGATTAAAAGAATTTGCATCTCGTCATTTTTACATTGTTTATCGTGTCCCAGAGGATAGAGAAAACACCTCCTTCATTAAAAATGTCGCGATTCCGCTGCATAATCGCAAAACAAAAGTCGAGCTTTTTCCCCCACCTGCAGCCCCAAGTGGCCGCCGAAGGAACTACGGCGAAAAGATTACGTGACCTCGCTCACCTCTAAGCTGCAGCGTAACGCCCGCTAATGTCAGCAGGGAGAGGGAGAGGAAGCGTCTTCCGAGATAGCACACGGGAACCTACTCGGCACTCCGAATGACGTCACTAGGAGGGGGACCAGGTGTGACCCTGAAGGCTGGGAGTGAGTTGAGGGGTGCCCGAAATGCCAATCTTTATCTTTTTTTTTTACAAAACAACTAGGACACGCAGGCGAAATCGGTTTTCTGTTCTTTACTTCAGAAGTGTCAGAAGGCAACTTCCAGAAATCTTTGACCGAAGTCCGGAAATCGTTGCACCCCCCCCTTTAATGAAAGAAAGCTAACAACTGCCGTCAATATTTTCATTTGATGTTTCTAAACCTAAAGAGCTTGCATGCACTGTACATGCTCCCGCTAGATACTTAAGAAAAAACCTGCGCATGACCTTTTCTTTATACTATTCCTTTAAAACAAAACCTGACCACCAAAAAGCATCTTTTGGCCCCCCCCCCCCCCCCCCCCCCCCAAAAAAAAAAAAAAAAAAAAAAAACTCGGCCGTCGAAGGGTTAATGCCACCATTATTCGTGAATCTTATAAAAAAAACTTTTGTTTTGTTTTAAAGTGTTGTCTAAGGTGTCCCAAGAAAGATAGCAACATCGACAATTTGTGACCAAAACGGAATTTTGTAAAATGGGGTAATGCAGTTGCAACAAGAGGCCACAGCAGAGCTACATTTTCTATGCCACCTGCATCACATTTAATTTTTTCTTCAGAATAAATGTACAGAAAAAAGTCTCGAATTTATGAAACGAGAGCTCACTTTTAATCTGTTATAAAACAAACTAGCAAAGCATTAAAAGCATCTACGCTCGAGATTTACGGTTAGGGAAGTGCGTGAAAACAGAGGCTTGTTCGAGATGGACACTAAATTTACTGCACATTATGACTCTCTGTACCTTACAACCTAGTTTCTTTCGTGTAACTAATTTTCGTTGTATGTTTGCCCCCGTGTAACTAATTTTCCATTAAAATTAATTAATGAGCTACATGCTACATGCACATTACTGAATATCGCATGCTACGAATTCGTGAAAAAATATCCTAGCATTTATCTTCGTCGGGAAGTTCCAAATCTATGCGAAGTGCAGCTCAAAAAGTTGGCTAGGACCACGGACCTTTGAGTGTCGTAAATTTGCGACACTCGTCCAAAAAGGGTTAATAATGGACTTCCTGCGTGTTGCTAAGGGTATTGATTCTCGCTTGCTACGTGTGACACGCCAGATGTGTGACATGCCAGATGTTCACCGAGTCATCGAACATAAAAAATCTCTACACGTTTCACCGTATTTGAAAGCACAGAGTTGATGGTATGTGGTTTTTGCCCAAAGCTTGCGTCTAGCAGATGCGTACCACATCCACAATGGAAGTGATCTTAGAACGAGTTCGCACATCGGAAAGGTTAAAGGTGCGGTGCAACGACTGGCGGGCTTTGGCCAATTAATTGCGGGAATAGTTCTACGTCACCTATAGAAGAAAGCATAGAAAACTTTTTTTCTTACCTGCATTAGTTTTCATTAAAAAAATTATACAGGCTGAAGGTCAAGGCTACCTTTGAACATGCACAGTCCTTTGAGTGAGGTGTGCAGTGACGTCACTGGGAGAACCACATTGTTAGATTCGGCCACAATAGCACGCCGCTTTTGCTTAGCATCGTTGAAGGCTGCGGCGAGTGATTAAGAAAAAAGACGGTTCGTCACGGCGAACACGCAGAGGGTAGCAATGAAGACAAAACGGTTTTATTAACTTTTGGTAGATGGCACTGCAAAAGCTTGCATACTCCCAATGACGTCACGCAGCGGTCCTGATGATCGCCACACGCGGCTGCACGTCGGGAAAAAGTGAGTTTTTCCTTTTGCCATTATGCTGCAAAATTCCGATACTCTGGGGGAAGGTGGCACATCTTGTCGCACTTGTGCCAAGATAAACCGTATAAAAAATATAAAACTGCAGATTGATTCGACAAAAAAAACATTGCACCGCCCCCTTTGAAATGAACAGTGAATGCGGTAAATTGGTGAAACCAATATGGCGGACCCACCTTAGTCAGAGCCAGCACCTTCCTCTCCAGGTTGTGGATGCGCACCTCCTTCTCCCTGACCAACTGCACAAGGTTGCGGGACTCCTCACGCGAACGTTCCAGTGCCTGCAATGCAACACATCCAACAGAGGTCAAGCCAGGCCGGCCGCGGAAGTCCGTGGCTAAAATGAAAGAGTCAAAATCTTTTGACACTTTTGACTCAATGTGTTTTGCTATGCTGTTCAAGATGTGTTAATGGCCGTGGATATGCCTAGAAATTCGCAAGACTAAGCTGCTGTACCGGCAATCCTAAGCCGTCATGCTGGCACGTTTAAGCTGACATATATATTCATTCAAAACACCTCAAAGGCCTTTCGGCATTATATGAGGAGGGGCAATACAGTTGGATAAAAACATGAACATAAAAGTATGGCACATACCACACTGCATATCAACATCAGTACAATATCACAGGCACCAGTATAAGTCATAGTTATTACGGAAGTAGGTATTATGCAAAACACGTAAACTTGGAAACGAAACATACATATCAACATTATTATCTCAAATGTTGTAAACATGGATGTACACGGACGTAAGTAAAAAAACACGATGAGCTGGCTTTCACCTACGAGAAATGAATGGACGAAAGGATCTGACACTGTTATTCATGCTAAAATACCGTAATGGTTGTTATTTCTGACCGAAAAAGTTTAGGATCAAAAATACACATCATGGCTTCGGGAAAATTATTTCAGAGTTTGATGATACAAAGTAAGGCAGAATTGTTGATTGCTAATGTTGTCCCAAAAATATGCTTGAAGCCCTTAGTGTTAAAGGTTTGCGATTCTTTATTAAGAGAGCAGTGAGTTGGTGAGACTAAGCTGTCATGGTGGCGAATCCAAGGTGCCATGTTGGCAAGACCAAAGCATAAGACACAGGAGCGGTGAAAACGGGTGCTGCGTGTCGGCGTGCAACGGTTTCCACGGCAACCGGCTCTCGTATCCCTATGTCACTGTGACGTACCACCACAGATCAGATCTGGTTGGTCCAGAAAATGCCGTACAGTGCGTCTAGCAGCGAGCGGTGGAAAAGCAAATATGGCGACCGCTTGTTTGATTGATTCAGTTTGGATTCAGTGCAGTGTGGCTCGAACGCTCTCGTGAGGACGTTCTAGTCGAATGCAAAGTTATTCGAATTCCCACGGGTGACACGGAAGCTGTTGGGAAAGCACAACCTCAACTAGCAACCACCGCATCTTTGCAAGGAACAACGGCAGTGCCGAGAAACAGCGGTATGACACCGAGCGAGATTGGTTTGGTGGTTTGCATTCAAGGCGGGGAATGTTTGCCGGAATGCCCGATAATTCTTTCATCTGGCGCGACTTCATTGGCATAAAGCCAGTAAAACATCTTTGTGTACTTTTAAACGAAAGCAGGAATTTGCATCCGTTCTGCGGAATGTTTTCCCCGGGACTGGCACGCCGGAGGCCTCCAGCTGTCTCGGCGAAATTGGACACGTTGCATTTTAATTTTTAAATGAAGGTTTACACAACCTACACAGTCATTTATTGGAACGATTTCTATATCTTTTTTATTTCAGGACGGCTCGATAGCTTGATCGGGTGGAAAAGAAAAGCAGAAAAGCAAACGCCGCGTCGCTAGTGTTGTCAACATACCTTTTGCGGTAACGTTTTCTTCCTTCGACATTATTACTTTAAGGGGGGACACTACCCAAAAAAGCACATTGCTGCAAAAAAAATGTTGGTTTTGAAAAATGTTCTATTTACATCCTCCAAGATCTCGAGTATTCCCAGAAAGTTTCATTTGTTTACACTGCATAGTTATTTTTTTTTAATATTTTCTATCCACTAATGCAAAAGAAAAGCTAGACGTTGGAGCACTTCAGCACGTTTTCTCCACTCCACTTTTTGGCATACATTTCACTTCGGGAAAACTATTGTTTGGTAACAAGACAAAAGGGAAAACTAACTAACTCATTGTCTTTCCCAACTGGAATTTAAAGTGGAATTTTTTTTTTTTTTTTAAATTGTTTAATGTAGAATTACAACTATGGAATTGTTTCTTTTACTTTGAGGATGTCTTTTATAAAATATGTTAAAATATTATCGACAACATAAGAGGCAAAAAATTTATTTGCTTTTTCACTGCGATGTTAGCATAAAATAAACAACTTTTCTGAAATTTTGTTTTCACAGTTGCACTTTCCAGGCATTCTGCTGCATATCTAGTGAAGCAAAATGTTGGGTATTACATTAGTTTTCTAATGATAGTTTTCCTAAATGATGTCCGTGTGTTCCTGATAAAATTTACTAGAATTTATTTCACAATTCATGTACACAAATGAAACTTTGCACTGTATTCTGCCTTGCAACCACAAGTATATACTGCAAATTTCAATCATATTCATGCAGAGGTTCCAAAGATGACTTTTATGAGTAGTGTTCTCCCTTAATAGTAATATAATGGGAGTACAAGAATGTATGTGTCCTGTTTTATTTTTATTCCGAATAATTTAATTTATGTTTTGGGCATAAACAGTGCATTTTGAAGCGAAGCACTGCCAGTCGCTCAACGTTCGGGGACAAAGGCCGCCCAGCAATATGTGCGTAGCGCGACGGGCGTAACGGGCTGTTGCGTGCATGTGTCTTCGATCCACAAGTATTTCCTAGTATCGCCGAGTGGTGCGTCAGACAGAGTGCCACGCGGTGCCTAGCTTCCCGCTCATGTGTCCCCTGCTTCAGCTGCCATACCGGCGAGTTCAAGCTGCCATTCCGGCAATCCTGAGCCGCTATAGTGGCGTGTCTAAGCGGTCATGGCAGCAAATCCAAGCTGCCTTAGTTACAGAAATAAGGGTTATGGCGCAGGCTAGCTGGCAAACTTTCATACTCAAAAACACCAAGCCTTAAGAATGCCTTAGTGGCCATCTTAAGCTGTCAAGGTGCCATAGTGGCCATAGACCTTAGACCTTTTTGTCTCGATAGTTGCCTGACCTGCAGATAGAGGGCGCTGACGAACTCGCCGCCATAATGTTGCTTCAATTTGGTTGGTTTTGGTTTCAAAGTGCACGTGACTGTGTTCCTGCTTTATGTGGTTTTTGCCTAAATGCCGTGATACAAATGTTTCTCTTGTAGCACAGAACCAATGAGACAGTGGTACTGAGCCACTTTGAGGACTACGGAGTGGTTTCGAGCACAAATTGCAGTGTTTTTTTAACACCTTTGATGCATCAGATTATGGTCGGTGGCGAAATGACCGAACTGATGTACAGGGAAGATCACCATCACAGTGATGGAAGCAGCATTTGAACCTTTTGTAGCATGTTCTGTAGCATTCAAAATACTGGTATGAAGCAGCCGCTAACACTTGTAAAGCAACTGCAAATGAAAAAAAAAAGAAAAGTGATTCCATATTTAAATGAGTTTGTCTGTGATAATGATTAACAGTTCGTCTGACACAGGAGCACATTACTTATCACATCTTGTGCTAAAAATAAATAGGATATAAAAGGAACAGATAGCCTTCCTTATTTGAAATAAGGCTCTGGTCGGAGCGGGGTCCGTTTAAGAGGGGTACTAAAAATAGTTGAAAAATAAATCATAGCCCAACCCTTCAGTTGCAATAAAGCCTCCCTCCCATCCCTGTTCTACGCTCGGTAGTTTAAATGGCCTGTAAATATAATTTCTACAAAATGCCAGTAAAAACCAGCATATCCGCTACACCAATAAGAACCCAAGTTTTATGAACCTTCAAAACTCTAATATCATTAACTACAAAAACAACCACTAACAAGTATTATGAAAGCCTACATATGGGCTTTAAATGTAACACTGCTCTTCAGCAGCACTGGAACTAGAGTTGAATCAAGGTTCACTGCTCGTTCATTTGACAGCTGCACAAGAACTACCGTATTTATTAAAAAATAGAGATTTGTGTGCTTTTTTTTTTTCTTATATTTTTTTGGCTTTCTTTTTTCAGTTATTATTAGAGATTAATTTGCAATGAAGACAAAGAAGGTCGATCTGTAATAATCCTGAGAATGAATTCCGTGCCTATTGCGCTAACCCTCCAACAGGTCAGTCGCTGCTCCCAGCACTCCGGTGCAAAGCGGTGAAGCCTGACGTATGCACGCTCATGTGTGGTGAGATTTGTGAAGGATGAAAGGTAGAAATATTCTACTTCTACTTTTGTAAATATTAGGGCCGACCAATATTAAATTATTTTTATATTGTGCTTTAAGCCCATCCTGGCGCAGTTATGGCGCAATTTTGAGCGAAAATGACGCTTTGGAACGAGATGTAGCAGACTTTCGTTCATGGTGCAATTTGGCGCAAACAGCGCAGCACTTCCATCACTGCCATCGTCCACGGCCGTACGCTATGACACTATTTTCCAGAAAAATGAATTAATGACGAGACTAATACTACATGGATGTGAAGAAGCATGTCAACAGCAGGATTAGCTATTTGTTGAGTCGGGATGAACAGAAGAACTCGCGAGTTTACTTCTCACTATTTGGTTTTCGTGGACACTCAAAACTTTTTTGTGAACTTTGCAGACCAAAAAAGTATCTTATAATGATGCAGATAATATACAAAAAAAGAACAATACTGTTTCGGTCCGTATTACTAAAAATACAAAGAAAATCAACTGCATGAGAACTATTTTGACAGTCGACCCGACCTAGGCTGAGTAGGAAATCTCTTTAATTATCAACCCTGCTAAAATACTCATAGCAGCATTTTACAATTTTGGCCTCAGGAAGCTAAATATTTTTATATTGACATTTGCTTACGGCATACTCAAGATATAAGTGCCCGTCAAATTAAGTCTGACACTTGCCTTCCGTAAAAATGTCTACATAAAATTGAAGCTCAAGTCTAAGGTGCCGCTTTATGGACCAGAATAAACAGATCTTTATTGGTTTGAACAGATGTGCTTTGTAGATTTGGGCGTTGCCAGCCACTAAAAGTATATTCGCCATCGACAACACTCAACTCCAACGAGTTTTCTGCTGACGACTTTTTTTGCGTTAAATATTAATATTAATAATAATAATAATAATAATCATAATAATAATTGTGTTGTAAGTATGTTTATACATCAGGAAGTTAGTCAGCCTTAATGGGTGTCTGGTGTCTCAGCTGTAGATGAGAAATTTAACCAATGCAGTAAAACCGCTAGCCTGGGGTCTTTAATGTGCACCACACAGTAGCTATACACGACTGCACGCTGGTACGATGCTCATCCAGATTGAAACGCTGGTTCAATCATCAAAATTGATTTTGCATATGCTGTTTAGAGAGGCAAATGCAAAATCATGTACCGTAATATCCCGAGTCATCGCCCATCCCCGAGCCATCGCCCACCCCACTTTTTGGGCCAATATCGATTTCCGGAAAAACACCGAGTCATCGCCCACCCCTTCAAATACCCCAGCGCGGACTCTGCGATCCGCGAACACTCATCCTACCCGAATGACGTGGCCGGGGACCTTACAGTTGGAGGACGTCCGTGACAAAGTAAAACGAAGGAGGGAAATACACTTCTTTTTGTTTAAGCATTTCCTCCGTGAGCGACCCCAAAGTGGTCGTGTATCCGTGCGAAAAGAAAACGATGGAGATAACAAAATAAGAGTTCGTTAACGTAACCGCGGAGTGTTAGGTCAAAGTCTGTCTCCGCCGAAGTAAGGTCACCGCGAACCCGCTCCTTCTTCCCGTCCGTCGCGACCGCGGTTGTGCAATATTTTAGGCAAAGCCAAAGCGTAAATAAAGCTTTGCTGGAACGTCCTACACAGACTTGCAGAGCGTCCCAACCGTGCATTGATAACCCGCCCTGCACGGACGCACGTATGTACACACCAAACAAGAAAGTTCCGCAAGAGCTTGCAATTGACAAGGCGCCCGACTTGGCCCGACGCCAAAGTATTTGCCAACGCGACCGCCGGCTTTCCCGCTTTCCCAGCATAGCTCTTGGTCGCTTCTTTGGTCCGCTCGCTCCCTCGCTCGCTCGTTGCGCCTGGTCGGTTTTTCTATTTTCTTGTAGACTTTTTTTTTTTTTTTACTAACTAGAGGAACATAATGGTGACATTCTTTCACGGAACAAACGTTCGTGCTATACACGTTTGCAAGTCCGGCTTCAGGGCGCTGCCATCTTGCCTGTCTGGGGTGCGCTTGGACCAGTCATAATCCGATTACGAAGCCTTGCTAAGGCGTCGTAATCGGATTATGGCTGCTCCCGAGGGCGCACCCCACTGAGGAAGATGGCGGCGCCCTGAGACCGGACTTGCAAACGTGTATATGCAGATCGGCGGTGTTTCTAGCGCGTACGCAAGCATCGGACTTCGCTATAGTAAAATATTCTTTCGTGAGCATTTTTTTCTATAAAACAATGAAACTAAATAGAGTTTTGAGTTTGATGTATCTCTCGTGCATCAGCGCTAGATACGCAGAGAAAAATAGGCGGTTTTTTCCGCTTTTTTTCAAGTGTTTGTGCTCACCCACCGAGACATGGCCCACCCCACTTTTTTTAAAGAATTTCAGGCGGTTGGGGGGTGGGCGATGACTCGGGATATTACGGTATGCAAAAAAGAAACAAAAAAACGTTGTCGGTAATGCGCATATGCCCAGCCCGAACAGGGTTTTGGATTGGCACATGGAGACAAGGCTATTTCTTTACGTGGGCAAAGATTTTGCTTACACTATTCTACAATTCGCTGCTCGTGACAGTTTCTTACGCGACAAGTCCCAATCTTAGCGTTAAAATAAATTACATTAATTGAGGTTATCTTAAGAAAATCACTAAATCACTCGAAAAACTGGCGACATAGGACCGAGCACAACTTAAAATTCATAAGTAAACCGATCAAGTGGATGCTTATATCGCAGAAACAATTGAGAATGTCAAACACATGCAAGTCTGGTATTATGATGAAACAAATTGCCCAATGTCGACTTGTCATTATTCCTACCATCACATAAAATGCAAGGTAAACGTTCGTTGCCCATCACCTGAGTTGTCGTAGGTAATTGACCTTTGAACCCTCATGCAGTTTTACTCATCCACATAATGAGGCTCGGTGCTAACGCCTATCCCTGTGCCTCATCCTCACACACATTCGGTATGCCGACGGCGAAAACGGTCAGATGACGCTACAAAATCAACTGCACATTACAATGTAATGCAATTAGGTAGTAGATATAGACCAACACGCGGCCCCGACGTCACGCAGCTGCGGAGGTGTTGTCGACGGAACTGCGCTTCAATTCACGCAAGTTCGGTTTCTGCGCACGTGCAGTGCCCACACCTGGTGTGGGCAAATGCGGCCTTGCTTGTAAACAGCGTGTCGGTCTATAAGTATCAGACTACTATTTATGAAGTGTCGCGGTGAAATGGGACGAAAAACAAGAGTACAACGCATCTGCCAAGGTGCAAAGGGGAGAGCGGAGCGACGAGTCGAAGCAACTAAACTCCGAGGTGGCGGCGCCCGTGCAGCCGAGGATGCAAAGGTCTCCCAAGACGGAAGCAGGCCTTACCTCGTCCTTCCTCTGCATGGCCTCCCAGGTGCCGTTGGAGAGAACCCCCTGCGGCTTGGGGGGCAGCTGGGCACCGCCCGTGCTGCTGGACGTGGGGCCGCTGCTGTGGTTGCTGTCCTGCGCCAGGCTCAGGGCAGAGTCGGACTGGTTCACCGCGCTGTCATAGTCCTGGTTGTCCTCGTCGTCCGCGTCCAGGTCCGACGGACTGTCCCGACAACGGCGTCAGACAAAGCGCCACACACGGTCTTCGGTTGCAAAAATACCAACTAAAAGAAAAGACGCGCGCACGACGTCGTCGTCGGTGGATCCCGCCTAAAGCGACAAAGGACCAGAGTACACCGCAGAGCGGCAGAACTATCCGTCTTGATGTCGCAGCGTGGGACAGAGTGCAAAATCGAGGGGCACTAGATGCCCAAGCGTCGCCGAACGTAGGAAGCTGGAGGCAACCAAAGCTCCTCCTTGCCGTCCTCCCCTTGCTGCATTTGTTGCGAGACGCGAGCCAGGCGACACCGGGTGGATCCACTGGCGACGACATTTGCAGCGGGAAGGTGAGAGCCTCGTCTTCTAGGTGGTACAGGTTGCGAGCAGAGGCTTTTAGTAACCCCCAGAGCGACGCCCGGGCTGTGTTACAAATCCCAAGGCTGGTTCGCACGTCTGCATTCGACCGTGCAAAGACCACTCAGAAGGACTCGCGACGGGAGAACACTAGAGTGCCTAGATTTATAAAACACGTGCAAAAAAAAGAAGTTTTTTTTTTTTTTTTCAACAGCTTAAATGAAAAAAGAATCTCATAAAACAAATTTACGATGAAAAAAAAAAAAACAAAGAAAACTTAGAGCTATACTTATGGCGCAAGACGAATTTGTAGTTGGCGCCCGTGGGAGCCCGTGGAAAAGTGGCCGCTACGGTCAACGTGACTGGCCGCTATGGTCACGTGGTGCTTGCGTTCTTTCGGGAGCTTTATATAGGCTCTGAAAGTTACCTTATTAATCTTAGTATAAAGTGCAACTACAAAAAAAAAAAGAAAGACGTTCAGAACTCCCTGTAATGACGAATTAGAGCGCAGCTCTTAAGGAGGAGGGTATTGTACAGAGAGGAAGGTATGCCCCTCCTGCTCCCTCTCCCCTCCTCCTCCCCCTCGTGACGTCACTCGTGAAGGTCGTGATTTTCGTCATGATATTCATGAGTGACTGTGACGTGACGTGTGACGTCATCATGGAAAACATCCTATATTGCAATGCGCAAGTCACGAGTGACCCGCGCGTTGCATTATGGTATGTTTCCCATAATAAAACGCACGGAACCCATGTGATATCACACGTGAAGTCGATATGAGGAACCGCCCATAATGCAATGCGCGCATCACAAGTGAGACCCGTGCGTTGCATTATGGGACGTTTCCTATAATGCAACACGCGGTTATGCCCACGGCAACGCTGCTCAAGCCAGAAACGGGCGCCTAAGAGCTGCGCTCTAAAAAACAAAGATTAATAAGAGACTCTTAGAGCCCAAAGGAAGCTCCTGAAAGAGCGCAACCACCACGTGATTGCCTCGTGCGCCGGTCAGAAATTGACGACGGTGGCGGCACGCCGGAGTGTTCCCTTCCGGCAGAGGCAGCGGGGAAAAATGCGTTCAACCGGCGGTGCGCCACACCCAGCGTACGGCAGTGGCATGACTTTGCGGTGGCATGCAGGTCTACCACGTGACCAGTGGCGCCTGCTGCGGGTGCAAAGTACAAATTTGTTTTGCGCAATAAATATAGCAGTAAAAATTTTTCTTTTTCAGTTGTAAATTTGTTTTATGACATTCTTTTTTCTCTAGGCTGTTTAAAAAATAAATTTTTTCCCTCGCATGTGTCTTTCAAGAGAGGGAGCGAGTGAAAACCGCGGACAGTATTTGGAATTTCATGGTGGACACCTCCCATCCAGACTTCTCGTCTGCATGGGAGGTGAGGGCAACTCCTTCCCCTCCGGTGGAAGGGCACGTACCGGAGGCGGGACAACTCCAGCTCCTCCCGAACGTTACCCCCTTGCTATATTGATTAATTGATTGGGGTTTCATGGCGCAAAGACTACTAAGGCCAAAATGCGCCATTCCCCCCCCCCCACCCCCCGCCCGCCCCACCCGCCCGCCCGCCCCGCCCGCCCGCCCGCCACCCCCCCTCTTGCTATAGAAGACACACTGGCACTACCTATCAGAACGGTACTTCCCAAACTCCACTACCCTGCCATCCATTAAAAATATAAAACATGGTGTCGTGACCATCCATTCCCCCACCGTGGGCCTTTTGCGATGCCCAAGCTGTTTGATTCTGATGCACGAACAATTGACGGTAGAAATGTTTTCTTCTTTACATTTCATACAGTCGGAGTGAACCGGCTGGGCTAGAGACCATCGCTAAAAGAAAACAAATGCGTGCCAGCAGGAATGACATTCTTAATGATTGAAGTGAGCACGTTAGAGCGCTGTTATAATCCTGGCCAGCATGTAGCGCCACAAGGTCCCCTGGTGGCCTAGTGTGACGATGACTGGAAGTGCGGCGCTCTATATTAAACAGGGGCCACCCGGCTCCCTCAGTTAGTGTTGGGTTGGTACCGAACTACGTGTGTCATGTTTCCGCTTCTCGCCGCCGACGAACGTTGGCCGGTGCAAAGCGAGTTCGGTGTACACTTGTAACAAGCGCAACTTCTCAAAACGAGATTGGGGTCGGATGCCACGACTCACAGTTCCGGCTCAACGTTGAGCTGCAACCTGTACTTTGTTTCACCAACACCACCGCAGAGAAGCCAATTTTTTTGTTCTTTTTCCATCTTATCCAGGTGGTTTGCGAATCTTTGAGGAAACCCTCGTGACCCATAGTTTGGGAAACATGGACAGACACCTAGAGCCCTTTCTTCTGGGTATAACTAGACCCACAAGATTTCACGGGATTTGCAGGATCAAATCTACGCACTATTTATGAGAAATGATCGCTTATCGCACGGCGAGAATTATTTCGAGCCAACGATGAAAGAACAATGTGCAAAGCATACGGGTAGCAGTGTTGCGGAGTTGCCACTCCGGAGTTGGAATGATTCCGAAATCATTCCGCATTTTCGCAACCCCGGATAAAATGGGCACGGAATGGCGGTGACGTTGAGGGGAATGGAATGGGAATGGAATTAGACGCCTTTTGCCCGGAATGGAATGGGAATGGAATGGGCCCGGGTCTTTATATTTATTTATTTATTTAGATATATATATATTTTTTGGGGGGGAGAGTGGGGTAGCGTTCAACTATACCGAGAAAGTCGGCGAGTCAGTTGTTCACAAATAAAATGAATACAAAAAACAAGCGTCAAAGCAAAGAGCAAAGAGTAGAGAAGGGAGAATGGGGGGGGGGGGTCAGGTCGACGGTGGCGCCTCTCACGAACACGCTGGCGACGGGCTTCACTGGTGTTACACGAGAGCGAAACAAAAAGCCAAGCCCCAAGCAAAAGAAATGAAAGGAGCGACATAGAAAGAAACCGCCATGCACGGCTCTTCGTCGTCCTTCTTGTCTTGCGTTTTTTTTTTTTTTTTTGTGATGGCATGGAGAAAGCACGCACGCGCAAGGACTGAGATCTGGGAGTGGGGGGCGACTCATAACTTGCAGAGCTCTTATAACTCGTTGACTCCCACGCCACCGAAAGATAATCAGGTATTGTTTTCTTATAGTTCAAGGAGCGCTGTTCAGCACGCGGCGGCCAACCCTGCTGCCTTCCACGTTCATTCGCGCGCACTCCTTTGAAGTGAGAAATCTGGGTTTGCTTCGGCATTAAAACAAAGCGAGATTCGCTTCTCTCTTCTCTTGCGCTTTGCTCCGACTCTTGTATTTTATACTGCATTTTTACGTGTAAGTCCGCCTTTTACTTGGTCTTAGTTCTGATGCTTGTTTTCTGTGTTATATATTTTACATTCAGATGGGTTAGAGTTGCAAGCAAGCTAGCGGATTCCCATTCATTTCCTTTGACTTTAGTCTCTGCATACTTTGTTTCACCTTGCGTTGGACCGCTGCGGACGCTACGAGTCACTTCAGGCAATCCAGCACTGTGAGCTTAGTAAAATCAGTGCTTTTTTTTTTGACGCATTTAGCTTTTTTTTTTTTTGCAATTGTCTATGCGTTTGACAATGTCAGCTTTCAACTGCTTATGCCGGCAACACAACAAGGTTGGGCAGTATCGTATTTCAGCAATACATTTTGTATCTGTATTTCTGTATCGCACAATACATTGGTTCAAATACATGTGGAATGTTTCTTTTTATCACGATAATATCAAGATGAAATATATTTTGTTACATTTCGTGAAAAATACCCGGTCCCTTCCACCCCCTCCCCCGAAAAACAAAATACAAATCTGAACGCCTTTTTTTTTTTTATTTTTGAGGACATTAGGGTCAAGGAGACATTGGTGCATTGTTACTATGCTGAGCAAGGTTCCTTCCGATTTTACAAATTATTTTTCTCTTCTGAGCAATGTTGCCTAGTCGGGACTTGAAACAGGTAACGTACCAGGAGTTGAGTTGGAGCATCTTTTACCGCAGGTCCCTAGGTAGGGATTTCATGAGTCATTGTTTACTAGGCATTCAGTGCCCGCTTCTAGTTATTTAGAGCCTTGAGAAATAGGAAATCAAAGGAAGTGTTGCTTGGCCTGGTAGCCGAGTAGCTAAGTCACAGTCCGCTGCAACACGAGTCTGGCGGTGGTTGACTTGGAATAGGATGACAGAAGCAGTGAAATTCAACACATATCCGAATGCGTCTGCGCCTGTAATTTTGCACTGCCCAAGGGTATGTCATCAGTCGACGTGAACGTGACCCGCTGCTCTGGTGATCCGATAGCCAGGAAGGAGGCCAGACTTGTCCTCGCTGTGCCGACCCAGACTTCGTACACCTGCGACTCGCCTAGAGCGCGCTGTTTCTCGGAGAGCTCGCACCTGTGCCGGTCATCTCAGGTCGCAATCCACGAGGTCTCTGTTTGGATGATGCTAGGCGAAACTTGAGGACTGCCATTCGTGCGTTGGAGGCGGAGGGTGGGCAGGTATAGCGTCACAAAAGGGATACCACCGTATCGATTTTTCAACCGTAACAAAAGATAAGACATGTGCTCCAGGATACTTCAGGTGGTCCTCCATTTTCAAAAATTCCAAATGCAACTGCCTACATGATCTTCAACGAGGTCTCCTACAATGAAAGTATGTATTGTTCTTTCATACAACAGCGTGAGAAAAGTTTCATGTTCAAGGCAACACTTACAGATACAAGAATACTAGTTCATTCCACCGTCACGTCATGTGATCAGTGTTGACAGGGGTGCCCTTATTGGACAGGGAAGTGGTGACGTTATGATGGAATGTATTTAGAGGCCGAAATCTTTTCACATCATCCGTCAGACAGACAGGATGCCAGGGAAGAGACCACGGCCCATCCTTGGGGAACGTTTTTTTGAACCCACTGAAGACTGCCCTCCGTTCGGAACCCCTACCTTCAAGGCGAAGTGCCAACCCTGCGGAATAGTAATTTTGGGATAAAAAACTGCCACTTCATACTTAATAAAGCCTCATCTCAATTGGCGTCTCAAAGAAATTTGAAAATTGTATTGCATTATCAGTATTTGTATTTCTTCTTGCCTCTTTTTAAAATGTATTTCCGACACGTATCGCGATGCATTTTTACAGATATGTTTGAGTATCAGTATTTTAGCTACTATTTTCGTCTGTCCCAGTATTTGTATTTTTAAATACATTTTTTAGCATTTCTGCCCAACCCTGCAACGCAATGTAGCTGTGAAATGCCTTTTTTACGTTTAGGAACTATAGGAATGGAATGGAACGATTCAACCATTTCAGGAGTGGGAATGGGCCCAGTGTCCCCATTCCTGGGAGTTGAACGGAATGGAAATGTCGAAAGCTCTAATTCACCGGAATGGAATTGAAATGGAATGTGGGTGCCTGTTCCGCAACACTGACGGGTAGTATGACATCAATTTGAGCAAATATATAGATCTTAACGAAAGGTCTCCCAGAACCAACGATCAGTTTGGAGTCGAGCCATACTGTCCAAACCTCAACGTTTTCAAGTACTCCTCATCGCAACTCGCCGAAGCCGGCCACACGTACACAAAAAGAGGAGCTGCCATCCACCGTGAGATCCAAAACCCAAGTAAACTTTAATCAAAATCTCAGTGACGAAGAAAAGAGTGCTATCTAGTGCATGCGCCTTGTGCAGGATGCCTGGCACACCCGTTCTGCTAGTCACGCCAGCATGCTGCTTTCTGGTAAAAAATGACCGAGAGAAGGAATAGTTTGGACAGCGACCTTTTTGTTGTGATCGATAATGCGGAGAAACTCGAAAAAGTGTTTCTCAATTTTTATTCAAAGACGCCCTAGTTTTCTCGGAATGGTGTTGGTGACGATTTCGTGGACACTAGCGTTTAACCCGGAAATCAAGCGAATGATGATGGTATTTGTGGCAATTAATTTCTGTAGAATTCTTTTCTTTGCTCTTTTTTTTTGTTAAGAAAGTACACACCCCTCAGACAGACCAAACGGGCTATCGGTATTGTAAATAAATAAAAAAAAAATAAAGAGCAGAAGTGTCGCACAGCTACCCGATAGATGGCGCCAGCGTGATATCTTGTATTAAGCTGTCGCAAGTGGTCGCAGCACAGTTGATCAGAGTCAAATGCAAATGTCCGAACCAGCCTCTGTTTGAGAAGATCCGAGTTACTACTACGTGTCATACCGCGCAAAAACATGCATAGGGTGACGCTGGACGTAAGCAGGTCAAAAGCATCCAGAAGCTGACCAAAGTGAAAACTATATATGCACCTTTTGTTGTTTCTCGTTGGGTAGGGCTTGGTTGTGTTCTTGACCTGGTTATGAAAGGAATGAGAGAAGATTGCCTTTTTAAACAGTCAGATTATGAAGCTATGTTGCATGAAACTTGGTTCCTCCTAGCTCTCGCCAGCTGTTTCTTTCACACTCCTTTGCGATGACTAAAGTGAGATTCTTAGCAACTAAAAAGCACTTTTTTTTTTCATATTGCATCTTGCTGCAATGCAAGAAATTTAAGTTTTCTTTTGCCTGCTGAATGATGAAACCAATTATTCTGCCAGCCAAGACACCCCCCCCGAGTCGCAAGTACCTCAAACGAGCGCAGAAGTTTACTCGTAAAATATGATGCCCAATTTTTAAAAGAATAGTGCATGGTGTCTGGCTGACTGACTTCAAGTTCATTTATTCAATTAATGTGTTACAATGGGTTATTGTAGAACTAGAGTATGCAGATAGGAAAAGAGGACATGCTTGTTTTTTGATTCCACAAATGTGACAACCTCTTTTCAATGATGTAAAGGAATGCAAGGGTATATGTTGTATCTAACATCAGATATAAACTTGCTTCTCTTTCCACTGCTTAGTTCAATGCAGAGTCACTAGATAGGTTACAGAGTAACGCAAATTTTGGGCAGCGCACCTCCAATTTTGGTTCCATGCACAAGCGGAAATTCTTTTTGGCCTCTCCACAATGAGGCAATTCCGATTCGTAGAGACAGATAGTTTTATAAGAACTATATCTCGAACACCGACATTTTATTACGCTCCAACTGATCACTGCATTCAACCACCATCACTGATCTCTAGCAACAAAACTTACCAATAAGCTTTCTTCATTTGTTTTCAAACAGAAGAATGCTTTCTCAAATGAGAATGAGCCAGGTACTGCAAACCCATGCACTCAAATGAGTACATGTGCACTCAAAGGAGTGTACATTTTTGCAGTGCTTCCACCGAGTCCACTCAAGGTGCAAAACTTGGCCGGTGGTGGTGGTACAGACAAAAAAAAAAAGAAAAAATCAACTTAAAAGGGGAACTCCGCCAATTTTCTGATAGTCTTCAATATGGCTGGAAATTGGCAGACCCCATCAATAACCCTTCCTCTAGTCCTAGCCAAAAATATTTTATTAGAATAAAATTTTTCCGTGAAGTTAATTAAATTTTCAATTACGCCGGCTGTGAGGGTTCCGGGAGGCGACTCTCTACTGGCAAGAATAAAAAATCCCTTCTTTTCCCTACCTGTGTACGTCACCGGTGGGAAGGCAGACGAATAACCTGGGCGGCCGCGAAGCGGCTTTCCAGGTCGCCAGCGAGAAAGATTATTTTTTTGCAGCTTTAATGTTGAAAGCTTTTTTGGAATGGGTAGCAAACTGTGCTCCACGGCAGAAAGTATGAACAGTGTTGTAAGAGCTTCTTTTTTACCCTTGTTTTCATGGGTGAAAAAAATGCACTCCCCGGCAGCGGTGGAGGCAAGTAATGTCAAAGTGCTTTTGCGCGAGCTGTGTGCTCAGAGAACCAGTGTCACTTGAAACATTCTCGCTTATGCTCGGAATACTTTACATCTGCGTGCTAAGAGTTGAGCATCCTTCTCTAGTTGGAACAGCTTCAAGGGTGGCAATCGCAGACTCAAGCCCAGTGTGACTACTACGACCTCCGTCAAAAAAGGAGCACTAATAATATTGGGAAAAATAGAGCACTAGTCAACATTTGGTGCAGTCACATTTGTGGTTCACAATTGCTTCAGTGATTTTTTTTCAAGAAGCGCTATATCCAATTCGGACATTGAATCAAGCACGGGCTACTTTTGGAGTTCCACTCACACTGTCAATCTCTTGAAAAGAAGAAGTGAAACGTCTAAAAGTGCATGTCTGAATTTAACAGGACTTTAGACAGGCTGCATGCATGCATTACAAAGGTTTAGGGAGCAGGTATTGAGCTCCATTAAAATACGATAGACCAGTTGCCTTGGTTGTTCGTCAAATTGTTGGTACGCGATTTTCTCTCGCAGAAGAAAGGTAAAATGTCTTTATTTTATTCTATTGCAGAGAAATGTTATATAAGGTTGAAAAGCTTTTAAAACTATGAAAATATTAATGTCGTTGAGGGGAGGCATGTAAATTTACTGCTGATGAAACTGCAAAAACCAAAACTTAATTGAAAAAAAAAAAAAAAAAATTTTTTTTCTTACGCAGAATTATTTATTTTTTCATGTGCACTCGTGGATGACTGAACGCATTGCGTTCTACTCCGACAGTATATAAACAAACAAAAATAAATATGGGTGCCAATTTTTCTTTGAGTAGATTTTTGTTAACTTTTTTCAATTAAACATTTTTCGATGCAATTTTGTATTTTGCACACTATCGCATCTTTGAGGAAATATTCTTTATTGGAAGATGAAGAGCGTATTTGTGTATACACGAACCTTTATGAAGGCCGTCTGGCAAATACGAATGCACTTCACTCCATTCTATACATTGCAATGTTTATGAGAATCACAGTCTAGCATGTGCACGTTCATCGCTTCGGAAGGCGAGCAAAGTATGTGCCACATGCACAAACGCTGAAAATGGCACCGACCAGAAGCGCTTTTCTGGAATGGTTTACAGATAGATGCTTTGCTATATTACCCAAGCACCAAGGAACATATGCATGCCACAAAAGTAGTGCTGGCATATGCGACAGTAACTTATCTAAAGAAACTGTAAAAGAAATGACACATTCTTTCAGGTGAAGCAGGTCTGTGGTGCACTTGTTCCCCCTTATTCCGAGCATTTTTTGTAATGATTGGGTAATTTGTAAAATAAAAAAAAATTGCGAGACTCCTTTAACCTTTGTTTACTAGCACCATTGCTTGCTTGTGATAGAAGAATGGATTTACGCTAGTGATTTCACGAAACTAGCGAGCCGCAGCTTGAGCGTACCGAGTTGCAAGAATGGTTCTCCCAAAATCCCAATTGCTTTAGTTTTTTTTCCTTATAGTTTAGCACATAGGCCGAAGTAATATTTTCTGAAAATAGAGATTATTATCAACTTCAGATGTTTTCTCACCATTCAACGTGAGAAAGGCGGGCGCGAGCATATCCGATTATCGGCCGCGTGCGTCGCTTCACACCGGTGACGTCATGTTCGGATGGCGAGCAAAACTGGGGAAAAACTAGGAAAAACGGGTTTCAGTAGCGAACAAAATAACACATTTTTAATTAAATAAGAGTGAATCTCAGGAAATAAGACAGCATTTCGGAATCAGGAAGCCATCAGCATTCAGATGATGCCTTAAGAATAGTTAGCGCAAGAGATCGGTGCGGATAAAAAAGATGAAGTATGTCGAATAATTAAAAGATTGTTAGCAAGAGAAAAGGAATGCAATACAGTGCATTTAGTCCCAGGCAAAGATGACCAATGTGACACAACATAGGGAAATATCTAGGGATTTGGGGAGGGGTTAGGGAACTCTGGGGGCAGCTCACCTCTTGTGGCGCCTGCCCATCTGTCGGGCCAGCGAAGCCAGACTCGTGGGGCACCTCGTTGAGGGCTGTGTTGCGCCGTGTTTCGGCCGACATGCTCAGCAGCTCCTCTTCCTCCTCACCCGTGCTGCCTCCAGTGCTCTGCGCAGTGCACACGCCTAGTCAGGCACGAGCCACCCCCAGGGGTCTGATTTTGGTCACCTTGAGAGCAAAATTTAATCTGGCTCTCACAGAGAGGGCTAAGGAATCATTTGCTAATGTGTGAAGAAAACGGTTTGCCTGCTACAAAGCGTCCTTTGCATACGAAAATGAAACGAGTAAAATACTATACATCGTGTGGTAACAAACAGACAGAAAAGTGGATCGTCTGCTATGAACCAAGTGCCGTGGTAAAGTGATATCGCACGCAAGTTGAAATTGCGATTGTCTTCTATCTCACGTTGGAAGTGACAACCTGTGCTTTCTTAGCATGTCCTATGTCATTCTGTTTCCGTACACAAGCTGACATCAGGCAATGAATGAAAGAACAGCTGAGACAAGTACCTCAGATGCTGTAAGACTTGTCTCACCATAATACTGCCTGATCATGGACTTGCGAACGGCTCAAGAGTTTCCCATTGGTCAGTAGCACTCCTCCAGCATGAGATCTGTGATGCCATGCCCAATCAGCAGCCCAGAAAGCTCTTGCACTTACCCAGGATCAAAATTGGAGCTCATCTAGACCAGCTCCAGAAAACAGGCTACAATGGAAGAGCAGATAGAAATAGGATGCTTCTCCTTAAGGCTGTAAAACAAACTGCAACATGGCAGACGAGCTAACACTACACAAGATCTGCATCTATAAACACAGACGTAGTGGCTTGGAACTCATTATATAAGCTAATTACGAGCTTGCAAGCTCAATGGTACCTTTGGCACATGCGCGCTACTGTGCAGTATTTCCAGCTGCACCAGGAAAGGGTTTAATTTCAGAAATGTGTCAGAAGCTAAAATTACATGAGCCACAAACATCTGGAGAAAACAGTCATAAGAACGCTGACATTCACTAGACTCTGTTGTCATTCATTGTTTTGGAAAGTGCAGCCTGCAATGACCTGCAAGAGCCCACAGCCATTTGTAGATTGTGTCAGGTGAAGGGCTCAAGGCAAAGGAAAGGAAGGCTGGGGAAGAGGAAACAGATGGATTGTTGGACACGAGAGGAGGAAACATCTCCCTCGTTCCAGCAGTCTGCCTGCTTCCTCCTCCCCAGCCTTCCCTTTTCTTTGCCCTGAACTGTTAACCTGTCATCGACTATAGGTGTCGTGTCGGTGTAATGCCGTTCATTATTGATGTTCACTCACAAATTTCTTCCTTTTGCTTGCAGAGTATTGTGGGTTCCACCTGTCCAACTAACACTGCAAAAGACACTTTGCTAGTGTCGCAATAGAATTATTGACTGAAAGCATTGCGGTATTAATGTGAGGTACTGATGATCCACTGATGTCTTAAGTAGTTGTTGAGAATCCTTAACGATCCATGACTCTTTAGGATGGCTCTGGGATGCTATCAACATTCCAGACACATCATGAGTGCAACACCTGTAATTTTATGGAGCTTTTTGCTGGACGACTGCAGAACATTAACAACATCCCAAAATGATTGCGATTGCATGGGTGCTTCAGACGCCTTTAGGACGTGATCGGCATTTCAAATGTGTCCCAGAAGGTGTATCTGGAGCACAGACGTACAGATGGCTGCGGATGCTAAAGTCTCAGGAACGTCTCTCAAATTTCCCTAGTTGCATGGGCACTGCTGGACATCTGCGAACGTCTCCTGCACCTGTAGGATGTTACAAATGTCTGCAGAATGTCACAACTGTCCGAGAAACGTCCCAGCCACAATTATGCCTGTATGGAAGTGCCCACATGCCTGCCGCTGGCAGCACACGACTCTGGAAGTCCTCAGGATGTCACGACGTTCCACGAATGTCCCGTGGAAGTACATAGGACATATGCGTGCCTAGAGCACAACGCACGAGGTTGTATAAACAAGCTCGTCACCTGGAAGCACACAGGGTTCTACGGACATTCTCACGACATATCAATGTTCCACAGATGTCCTTAGAATATGTAAAGAATGACCAAGTGTCTGGGATAGTATGCCCGAGATTGCACAGACCTGCTTGTCAGGTTGACCAACCTGGCAGCAAACATGGTTCTGAGGATGTCCTCACGATGTCCTAACGTTCCACCGACATGCTGAGGACGTTCAAAGGACGTCTGTGCGATTGGGGCGATACGTGAGGTTGTCCGCACGGGCTCGCCACGTTAACCACCTTGGCAGCGCGTGGGGCTCTATGGGCATCCCAAGAATGTCCTAACGGTGCATGGTTATTTCGTGGCCGTTGAGATGGTAGCGCATGGACATCCTGTCCATGCGCTGCCAAGCCAGCTCAGGATGTCCTAACGTTGCATAGTTATTTCGTATCAGAGACCATTCTTGCGGGGGCCCCTCACCTCGGTGGACTGGAGATGCACGACGCCCGTGCTGCGGCGCTTCTCGCGCAGCTTGCGTCGCTCCCGCTGCGCCTTGCACTTGTTGGGGTGGTTGGGCCGCGGCGGGCAGCGCTTGTCCTTGGCCCTCGCGCAGGGCTTCGGGGAGGCGTCGTGCTGCTCCGGTGCCGCCTGGGACCCCTCGGGGCAGGCCCCCAGCGCGGCCCCGGAGTCGCAGTCGCCGGCCGAGCACTCGCGCATCGCCAGCGCGCCGCGTGCCACCGCGTTGGCCCGGGCCGTGCGGATCCGTGTGCGCCGTGAACTCTGCACCTCCAGCTCGTGGTCCACGTCCTCCTGGCTCAGGGAGCTCGATGCCATCTCGACCCGCCGCTCACGGCCTCGCGGGTTGCACGAGTCTGCGTCGAGCCGTGGCGGAGAGTCAGCCCGCTAGGCCTAACTGTCAAAGTAGCGCGGAAGGAAGCGCGCCGTCGTTTGGTTTCGGGCTTTCGTACGGCGGTGCCGACGGGCTTTGGTCGACGCGGATCGTCGGGTCGGTCAGCGGAACTGGCCGTGCCGTTCTCGGAGCGTTGTCATGGTTGCGCTGCTGCTCGGGACAAACACGCAGGCGGAGAAGGTGTAGGGCCCGAAGTACGGTGTGCGTCCCTCCGTGTTGCCGTGGTGCGATCGTGCGATGTCTCGTCAGCTGGAAGCTTTTCCAGCTTTTCCTGCGG